ATTCCCGGTCCCGGTCCCGGTCAAATGCTGGTTTCTGTGCAATAAAATCGACAAGAGTATTAGCAGTTATCATTTGAAAGCAGAAATCAATGGTGCGCTGACTACTGGTTATGAATGATAATCCAGAAAGTGATAGATCTCGAAGATGATCTCCGTCTGGCTAGTTGACGTAGAATTCACCATGATCTCCTTGTCCTGTCTGGTGTGGTTCTTTAATGTCCCCACTGCACTAGGAAGTATTCCTACATGTTGGGTGCAGTCTTTGGTAGACTCAAGAGTTACAGTTTCATCTCCAGGATGATGCTTGGCAATCAGCATGAAAATAAATCTTTGAAAAAGATCTTTAATATGTTGAATGTATAAGTTGGATCATATTCTCCCTGCTACTATATGCGATTATTTGCAATTATATGCAATTATAGATAATAAAATGTGATTTTAAGAGATAATATACGTGATTATATATGTGATTAAATGTTATTACATGCTATTATATGTTATTATATGCGATTATATGCGATTATATGCTATTATATGCTATTTTATGCAATTATTTTGCAATTATATGCGATTATTTGCAATTTTATGCTGTTATATGCTATTATATGATATTATATGCTATTATATGCTATTATATGCGATTATATGCGATTATTTTGCGATTATTTGCGATTTTATGCGATTATTGCTATATAATGGTTGTTGCATAGCATTATAAAACGTTTGTACTGCAGTTATGAATTCTGTAACCTGCTCATTCTGTGACAAGTCTTTTGCCAATAAATATAGTCTGTCCTCACACATTAGTAGGTATCATCGAGAGAACCGAGAGTCAGATGAAAGTTCTGCAATTCTACAGCCACTGTCAAAAGCTAACTCAGATGCGACTGATGTCAAAATGGAGGGTCCTGATTCTGTATGTTCAGATGTTGATACAATAGTTTCTGAAGAATCTCAGCAAAGTGGTTCTAACTCTGATGTACCAGGTAGTGGTGATGATGAATTTAGTGGTGTAACAAGTAGCGATGATGAGTCCAACAAAGAATATAGTGCTAAAGAGTTAGAATCTGATACTGACTGGCAACACGTAGGCAAGCGGAAAGGAGTACCAATCAAACAACCAAACAGTAAAAAGATATCGAGTTTACTTAAATCTCTAGACGTCCTGTTACAAAGTAAATTGTGTAAAGAGCAAAATAAATGTTTTGACATTTTATTCTCATACATGATGAAAACCGAATTGTTTGTTGTCTTGAAGCAGCGTTTAATTGACAGCGGAGAAGACCTAACAGATATTTTAAGTTTGGAAGAACGATCTCTATTGGATGCAGTTATCACCACTACAAGTCTATCTGATGTAAACAAACTGATGAACGAAAACACTACTATTGTCGATAAGATTCTCAAACTTTATCTGAATAAGTAGTTGGTGGAACTAACTACCTGTACTAGAACACCATTAACGTGCAACTGTTATACAATGATTTATGTACCCAATCTTACTCTTGATGATTTCAATTTATGATTATAATGTTGACAACAACAAATTATCAATTAAACGGTAGTTTTATTTGTCTCTCGAAATTTATCAAATTTATAACAAGCAAATTTAATAGTTAATAATAGTGAATGGTATGGAGCCTTAGCTACTCCCTAGACTCGACTTTGAACCCTGAACCTTTTGTGCAGAAGACGGATGTTCTAACCACTAGGCTACCTAACAGTTGTTATATCTTAAAGGGTGAAAATGTGGTTCAGATACTGTAGCTATTGCTTAAATGTCAGAAAATTGATGATAAGACTTGTAATTTCCAGGAGGTCGAGCGATGGTAACCCTACACCACATTTCGTTATGTCACCCTCTGCTTATTTGGAGTGGTGACTGGACCGGGGTAAATCGTGAAGAATCATTTGACCAGTAATCAAATAACAGGAACCTGCTTGGCAACCGTTTAATCTGACTTTAGATCCTTTAGACAGGATTATTGAATTATTCATCATGACGTTCTGACGGGTAATCAAGTGACTCCTGTCACGTGATCTCGAGGTTCAATAACATTCATGTCACATGATGCTTAAGCTAAACACGTGACCGGTAATCAAGTGACAGGAACCTGCTTGGCAACCGTTTAATCAGACTTTAGATCCTTTAGTCGGGATTATTGAATTATTCATCATGACGTTCTGACGGGTAATCAAGTGACTCCTGTCACGTGATCTCGAGGTTCAATAACATTCATGTCACATGATGCTTAAGCTAAACACGTGACCGGTAATCAAGTGACAGGAACCTGCTTGGCAACCGTTTAATCAGACTTTAGATCCTTTAGTCGGGATTATTAATTTATTCATCATGACGTTCTGACTCCTTATTGGTCAATCAAATGTCACGTGACCTTGACATTTGATTGACGAGCTTGTCACGTGGTTACATGACATGTGATCTGTCACGTGACCTTTGTGACGTGCTGTCACGTGACCTGAGGGCGTGCTGTGAGTGGCTGGGTGCCACTTGATGGCGGGCCTTCATACATTCCCTTCTACTGATGATCTAGAAACAAACTTAAATTGATTCACAAAACTTTGTCACGAGCTTTGAAAAATTGTTTGATACTCTAAAGGGTCATACATCCGGATCCCGTTGGCACTGTTGCGGCACTGTTGTTTTTGTAATTAATGTCCTTGATATTTCTGTTCCGACTACATAAATGAAAATTTCTTTTCTTTAGCCTGGTCCTTACTGATGATATTAGCATTCATTCAATTTTTAATACTCGTCCATTTTGCACTTGTGACATTAAAATTATAATTTGCGAATGTAAACGAAGCTAGTTAAGGTTGTTTCTCGTTCAAAGTTGCGTGATATGTACACTTCTCCGAGAGGCTGACCTTTTCGCAGCCAGTGTAACAAAGTTGAAAGCTGCCCGCCACTTATCAAAATAGAGTTACACTAAAATTTTATTTAAGATCCGGCATGATTTTCAAAAGTCATCTTATTCCGGAACCCCAGTAATTTTACAGTAACAATTTAGAAATGTTTCGCAAAAATCTGAAATTTTGATGATTTTTAAAATTTGATCTGGAGTTTACAGGTCCGAAATTCGACGTTTTGCTCTAATAGAATCCTATATATTTTATAACCTAATAAGTCTATCTCAGCAGACATGGTCGTGAAGCTTAACTTTAGAACAGACTTCACCCGCTTTCTGAACAAAGAGAATAAGATAAACCACACAGTTAAAGTGGTGACAAAAAGTGAAGTTATAGAATGCAGTGGAGCAGTGTTATGTCAACACAGTGATATTCTGCTGCAACTAGTTGTTAAGGACAACGAACTCTTCCTAGACAACTACACTCACGTACAGGACTGTCTCCTAGTTCTTCACGGAGCTGAGGTTGCTCTTAACATGGACAATATCCTGGATCTCATGAAGTTCAGTGTTCAGTTTGGTATCAACGAGATTTACTTGCAGTGCCTGGATTGGATTGAGAACAATTTCAGTGAGGAGAATGTCCTTGAGATGTACAAAATATGCAACAGTGTGTCTAAATTTGCGAGACTTTGTGGAATAAAGCTACCTACTGATGCATTTTCTCATGTTATTACTTATCTAAAAATGGTTGGCCCCAATGCTGTTATTAATCTTTTCAACACCGACTCTGAAGCTAATCAATTGGATTTCTTGAGATTTTTTCTTGAAACAAAAGGCTTCATGAGCAATTTTGATGATTTGCTTTGTGATATTATTTCGGAAAACAATATTTCAATTGTACTTCCACTGCTTTGTAATAATTTTGACGAACTTAAGAAATTCTCTGAGAAACATTTCCGAAACTTGATTACAAGAATCGATTGCACTTCTGTTGCAAGTCTCGCACCCAGAGATTATGTATGTTATAAGGAAAAGCTTCATTCAATGTTTTTACAAGCTCAGTCCCCTTACAATACTTCACATTCCCTTCTTAAAGGATTAATTTGCCTAAGTGATACCATACTCCAAGGAAAGCTTTGGAAGAAGATGAACAAAGACCAGATCATAGATGTTCAGAGATTATTTGACACACCTTCACAGCATTTTATCTACTCAGAGATCATGATAGCTTGGATCAATGAGAATAAACCAACGCAAGAAACAGTGACTGAACTGTGTCAGACGTTGAAACCGTACAAGCTTGGTGCTGACTACATCTCCATGTTAAACGACAAGTGCAAAGTCCTCGGATACATTGAACCCATATCAGCTCCGTTATTAACCACTTGGAAACCCGTTAACCATTACATCACAGATACTGTTTATGCCGGTACTGTAAATAACGGTACAGGAATCGTCATGAAATTTAGAATTTTGTGCAGGAGTACTTGTAATTCAAGTAAAGTGTACACCGTTAACTTAAATCAAAGTGGCAGTCATGGGCTCGAATGGAGCTGGAACAATACAATTCCTTCTACTGTAACTGATGATTTTCTGAAATGTCCCCTTGAAACTGTACAAGACGGGGCAGAAAAAGAGCGATTTACATTTTATGGAGCAACTAAAGATGACGTCCACCTTCAGTTCCACACAAACTGGACTGACACTCTTGCTAAGTGGAACAGGGGTGGTAAAAGGTTGAATGTCGGATGTGTACAGTTTGGTAAAATCTCCGATTAACTTTTTTCCTATATCGTAAGATTAATGGTATGGATTAAAGTTATCAGAAAAACTGAGTCACTTGTTTTAACTTAGAGTAGGTTATCTTCTTTTGTGGCTTTCTTTATCGTATGACGTCTTATAGCTTTGTTTCATCGTATTTCAATTTTTACCGTTAAAATAGTTTTAAAGTAATTCAGTTCCCATTTTTACTGTGTTTTACTTGATGATATTAACATATACATGATATAGGTCAGAAAAATATTTGTTCCCATTAAAAGAGTCAACAAAAAGTCAGTATAATTTAAATGTAAGATACTTGCATCACGTGACGTTGAGGATGGTAACTGCCAAGTTTTAAAGCTAACTTACACACACTTACAGGATGACAGATGTATCCCTGCTTGAGGGGGAGGAACTGAGAGGTATGTTGTTTTGATTGCTCTGTTCTGTGTGGGGACTTCATGATTAATGTTGCCCGTATTGGTATCTCCATTCTCCTATAACATAGTAGTAGTACTAGTAGTCCTATAACATCTCTGTATAAGAATAACATCCCTGCATATAAGAATGTTTGTAGAAAGTAATGCCAGATTGTAAGACCATACCTGGTGAAATCCCACATTGACTAGTACTGAAAAGTAGAAACTTAGGAGGCAATTGTTCCTTTACACGCAACTTTGTGTAGAGCTCTGTGGAATCTACTCAGCGTTACATTTTGGTACAAGAGGACTGTATTATTACGTACATGTTCAGTGTTCTCTTTATTGTATATTCTGGAAGGTTTATGGAATGTTCTGCATTTGGCATAAAGCCTTTCTTCAGAATCACCAGCTGTAATTCTAACTAAAAATGCAATGAAAGCGAAACTTCCAATAGTTCCTACGAATCAGATAACATTTCGACCTAAAATTTAAACTCACTAGATTTTATATTGTTACTAAAACAGATAATGTCCAGGGTTTATAGCGAAGGTAGTAGAGTGTGACGTTCTGTGTGCTAAACAGGTTTCCTACATAAACAGAAGTAAACATGAGTCTTGTGTGGCTGCCATTAGCAGGCATAGGGTTATCCTCTACAACATACGGACTAAAAGAGTTAGTTTATTCCTTCTTATCTCTCCGACACAATGTTTCCATGTTTTGTCTCCTCTAATAACTTAATAAAATGAGATTAAAATTATATTAATAGAGTGCCTCTAATTCCCTAACAAATTATTAGCTAACAAATAAATGTATAACTTTTATTTTAAGCTCTTTAAAATTTCTCTGAAGCTTATTATTATATTGCATGTGTGCTTCTTTACTCTTTAGTACCACCACCCTCTGATACCGCTAACTTAAATACAAAGCATTCTAAACCCACTAACTATCATTAACTTTCTAAACTAACAGGTGGAACACAACATGAACTTCCTGAACATTAAAAGTCTCACCAGCGGCTCCAACAGCACCGTAAGTAACGACCAATTTATGAAATTGGATTGATGAGAATCTGATTTGGTGGCTACCAAATCACTATTTTAGATTAATAAATCTCGAGAGTTGGCACCTTCATATAATATAACCCCAATATAACCGGAGATTTAGATACTGATTGTGACGTATCTAAAATGCTGATGTGAGAAATTAGTCTTGATAAACCTTGATTTGTTGTCAAGAAGGAATACATTAAGTAACATAACAACAATCAACAAAACATCTGACATTTTAATAACATCATATTATGAATATCTGACATACTCATCATTTTGGTCAAAAAACCATGCAGATTTCACTGAGTACAGACAAGACGCTGATACAACTTGAGTGTACTGATATTGACGGGTTTATTGTGCAACTCTTCGTTCTTATCTCTATATCCTTCCCTGCTTGTGAACTCAGGTAATATTTCTCACCCAATTCTTTCAATAATAATCTGTTTAAAAAACTGAGTGGAGACTCTCATTCTGTCCCAAAACATCAATTATCCAATTCTTATCGACCAAGTTTGGGCCAAAGGGGCAGTTGTATAATGTATAGTCGGAATTTGTGAACTTATTGAAAACGTTTATGAAATTTTTAATCATTTATAATATCAATTATTAAGAACAGCCTTATTTGAGTATTAATAGCTGCGGTGTCCACTCCAGGAATTCTTCTTACCTTTCCAACTCAAAACAGCTTCGTGCTCTATCATAAGAACTTTTACATTGAGGGTACAGGACTGAATCTAGGAATATTAATGAAGGATTCAGTATTGCAGAAAGGGCCGTTGTCACTTGGGTTTGGGGCCGGAGTCTCTCGACAAATTTGAAAACAATATAGACCCTGGTCCCTGAGATTGAAATCTATGATTACTCAATATCTGTTCTAGCCACTGATTAGCCACTACAGTCTACACTCTACATCTGTGATGACACCTGATTATTGATTGGAGAGTTTTGATAAGTGTTAAGCTATTAAATAAGTTGAGGATACCCCAGATACTACTAACGATATACTGTCTATTGAGTACCTTTCTTGTGATTGTGATCGTGTTGAGTATAATATGTCGACACAGTCGAATATGACAAAACTCAAGAAAGGAACTGTTACGTAAGTGTATATTACTTGGTATATGTACAATACATAAGCAGGATATAGATATACAGTACTATTGTACATTGTACTATTGTACTTATTGTATAGCGCTACTCCATTGTACTCTATTTTTACTTTAATATATGTGCTCACAAGTTTTGTTGTTGCAGTAAACTAGAAGAAAGTATTGCCGATAAAAAGTGGTATGTCGCATGTTTCTATCGCTTTTACATGTTATACTTTCATATCTTTCCATGTACTATGTATTTGTTCGTTCTTGCATGCTCTTTTGATTTTTACATGTTATACCATTGGAATGTTCTATAAGTACAGATCATAACATGTGCCAAATTATTAATCTTGTCATTTCTTTTTCACTTTCTGTCACCTTTTTCTTCAAACATAGTTTGGAGGAAGATAATTATTCTTTCTATTGGTATTTTACCACAGATCACCCTGCAATAAATTGTTACGTCTTTAAAATCTTCTCCTTCTTCTTTCTGACCAAAACGTTGAGGTCATTACTCATTACCCACTAATGACCAATCTTCACTTTTTTATCCTTGCATTGATCTTCACCCAATCTGATTTATGTTTTATCCTAACTTGTATTATATGTAATGTACACGTTTTCAGTGTTTAACCTTGCGGCATGATCAAATAAAATAATCCTTTAAAACAATATTTTCATGAGATTCTTTCGTATTCGCCTTCTCGTATTACTTTTGTACTCTTTTTTTAGTTATTGCAATTCTTGTTGTAATGCAGCAGAAATATGTATGATACCGGATATACACTACGCTACCTTAATGTGAATGCTTGCACAGGAGTTTGACAACCTACAAAATCATCCCCGAAACACGACAAGAAAAGCTGATCGCTAAAGTCGAGCGTCGGCTGGAGACATTAGAAGACATGACCTTGTTGGAGACATTTCGTCCTGCGTACGAGGCGTTCTGCGATTACTACGATATCAGACCAGACCCTTCTGTTGTTTGGGTAATGTAAAGCACATATCAATTTGTCGTTTCTGACTTTCGGGTTTTCTGTCCGACAAAACAAGGATGTGAAATCGAATTGCTATTTAGAAAATGGCACGGTAACTACGTTTGAACCGTCCTACGCGAAATCCTAACGCTTCACACGTGAATTTGTTGGCGCTAACAACGCGCATTTTGCGCGCGCTACATGTCCCGCGTGGGTTCACTTACCACGTGCTATTTACTTTCTTGATGCATTCTTCTACAGGATACAGATTAGGGAGATCTAGGGATACAGATTACTGATAAGGATAGCTGCTAGATGTGCATATTGATTATTGTAGTTGTGATATTGTGTTTGTATTGACCACTACTGGATATTGATTGATTAAATATTCTCCCAATTTCAGACCATTGAAAGGGTTTACTATGTTCAGCAGAGAAAGATATTTGACCTTCAAGACTTCGATCATCTGCCAAATAAGTATGTTCAATGATTTTTAATACAGAATCGATGTGTCTATTGGATAGAGTGCACCAAATACTAACTACCAAGATGGTCCCACTATAGGAGATACCCAGTTCCAGGCAGATAGGACCTGATTTACACTACCATGATATGGAGCCTTATGGTCTGTGATACAGACTTTGACCTTGTCATGCAATTGTTTGAAAATAATATAGAGGGCATGCCCTAACATGGTTGTGTTTTGTTGCGTGAACACTAGTATCCATCTACTTATCTACTATTTTTATGGACTGTATGCATTTGTCTCGAGCAGTGAGTGATTTGCTTGTAAGATATGTGTATGGTCATGCTCAGTGTTCTTTTATGTGTCTGACCACTGATTTTATCACTATCGTGTGTTATACTTGTTGTATGCCTTTAAATTTTAATAGGTTTTGACCATTGGATATCATTTATTGCAGCCAAATTCTAGCAACGCTGAGTACTATCAAATACACTGGATGGTTTAAGGGAATTCGAACAAAGGACAAGCGCATGGTAAGTAGTATCTGATATAACCTTAATATCTGCTTTGCTTTGCTTTTACAGTCACATTTCGGAAAATGCAGCGATGTCTAAATATGTTACGATTTCGTTTCAGAATAGTGAAATTCTGCAAAAGATACTGACGACCTGCCAAACGACTCCTTCCATCAGTACTGTGTGTCTTTCTGGTGTCGGACAGTTAGGGTAAGTCCTTAATTCTGCTTTCTTTCCCATTTGATTTCTCCATTTCTGTTCCCCGTCTTTCTTATTTTACAATTTCGTATTTTTAGAAATGTAACATCATACCGTGAACTCTCAAACACCTCGGTACATTGTTTCAGTGACCCGCTCGAATTGTTAAATTCGCCCGACCTCAACATTACCACTCTCGACCTGTCGGAGAACAATCTTGATGACAAGGAGACGACCATTATGTGCAATATCTTGTACAAGTTGTCGGGTTTGCAACGCCTCAACCTTGCTGGCAGCAAATTTACTGATAAGGGTATGATCATTTAAGATGATTGTTTCGGGATTTTTCTTTGCTTGCTTATTGAACGAGGTGAAATCCAAGTGAATAATGTATAAAAATTGACAACACTGTTTTATGAATTACAAGAGGATGCATCTGGTAATTCTCGGTTCTGTGATCGCTGTTTGCTCGTTACTTCGTTAGTCCTGAGAGGACATAACCAAATCCACAGCACAAATCACTGATACTGACTGAGCTATAAATAACACACACATTCCACAAGGTCTAAAGATGATAACTGACTGAGCTATAAATAACACACACATTCCACAAGGTCTAAAGATGATAACTGACTGAGCTATAAATAACACACACACATTCCACAAGGTCTAAAGATGATAACTGACTCGTTGAAACAGTCCTGCTCCTCATCTCTGCTCTCACTTACCCTAGACCGGTGCACAAATGTCAAGCCCGAGGGGTGGGCTTGTCTCTCTGACGTGTTGTGTCATCTTGTTATGTTACAGGAACTATCTCTTGCTGAGACTACCATCCCTCTTGAATCGGTTTGTTGTGCGATACCATCTTTAAATTATTGCTGGGTATAGATTTCTTGTATCAGTAAAAGTCTGGAGGGTTATTTTTACGTTGTAACAAATCTGCAGAACAGGTTTCTTTCTACTAATTAATGAAGTGTTATATCAGATCTGGACACCACTGCTGCATGGATGTGTTGGCCAACTTAAAAAGCTCAATCTGGCTCACACCAAGTTTTCTGCTAACAAGGGCAACGCATCTTGTTGCAACAAAGTAAACAGGTCAGGCGAAACTGGAATCTATCATCATCAAGAGAAAATGTTCAATCTTATATCAACCCGGCGCGGGAGACTGGCCTCCAATAAGGATTTCGCAGTATCGACCATGACGCATTGAACAGGTCCTGACGACATTGTTTCTCATACAAGGGAGAAAATTTTGAACTGACGTGAAAGACAAACGTTAGACTTTTCCTTTGCATTAATCAAAACTCTCTTAGGTCTAAAGTTACGTTAGATATCTTACATAGAGTTAGCTTGTGTTACGGTATGTGTTACGGTATGTGTTACGGTATGTGTTACGGTATGTGTTACGGTATGTACGGTTAAAAAGTCAAGTGCATCGTCCTCAGTGCATCGTAACCAGGTACGTGGAACGTTAAAATAGGTACGTGTGATGTATGGTAGAGTGTCTCACACACCCTGGAAAAACTAGAACTCCCTGGATCCTTTACTTTTTAAGAAGATGAGTCAAGTTTCGACGCAGTATGAAAATAGAATTAAAACGTTAATTAGCTTTAAAAAAGGCCAATCTATAGACTGGTCTCTTAACTGCGTGCAGTTAACAATATTTCTACCTTGTTTTTTGTTTTCCAGACACACGAATATTGAAATCGGTAAATTTTTCAGAAATTAGAAACAGATCATGTAATATCAGAATATGATTGTTACCGAGGTTAATGTTCACATTGTGTGCTTGTTCCTCGAATAAATAATGCAATCACAAAGTATCTTAAAATCACACGGCATCTTGTGACTTGTAAAGACAGTTTGATATCGGGTATTCTATAACTTAAACTCGCCTGATATCTGGCTTTAATTTTCAAAAGTTGCTTGGCCGAACAGCAGTCGGTAACTTTAAAAAAGAGGGGGGGGGGTGCCGCCCAGAAAATTTAATTTTGGGTAGTGTCACCAAACCTTTACCGATGTCCTGACCAATGTCGTGATTGTCCCTATCGTAGTATATCCATCATGTAGTCTGTAGGATTCTTAATCGCTTGTCGACCTCTCACCTCCATCCAAGACGTTGAGTAACGATGTCTAAGTCTCAGAACATAGTGCAAACATATGGCCAAAACCGCGCTCTCTCCATAAAGAGACACTGATTAAAGAGAGAGAGCCAGTTCGAGGAGCAGTCAAAATCGATACGTACGAAAATTTGCAATTTGGAACTCTCTGAAGGCCGGGTTACACTAGTGATAATTATAATAGCCATAAAATGAATTTCAATAAAGTGAAATAAACAACTAACTTATATATAGCGGCACTATCCTACTACTTTAACCACTTGCAATGTCCTACGTTCTGTACAGCTGTGTTCACCTCATCGTTAACGCACTCATCACAGTTACAACACTCGTAGTCCAACTCCAGCACATTCCCCCACCACATTCCCCAAATACAGGGTGTATTCGTGTCCAAATTTGAAATTATAATTGATGTATATTTTGAAATGTAATAATTTATCTATAATTTAAAACAAAAATCGAACTGGTTGACCTATTTGTTAGTTTTTAAGGGCCTTTCAAAATTTGGACAAGAGTCTTGAAACACCCTGTACTTCACCACAACATACATGCTCAGGTGGGGTTCTGTTTGACCACGTGACATAACAGTAAAAGATAGCAACAAGGAAGAGTTTCATGACCCGAAGGTTGCAATGGAAACTGTTGCAAAATTAAGAGAATGGTTTCTTTACTTTGTGGAGTTTTATATACATGGGGGCTAGTATATACATATATATACTAGTTTATCCCATGCTTACGGCCGGGACTTCACTATTGCAGTTGAAATGCAAAAGTATAAACCCGCCTATAATATTTGAAAACACGCATAACATTGTGTTGGTACATAAATCATAATTAGATTATTTGGCAGTGAATTCCCTGATATCTAATACTACAGCTTACTAGGGGGGCAGAATGAAATTGCTGTATGTTTGGACTATAGGGAGAGTTCATACTTTCATACGACAGTGTGATGCGTGTTTTCGAATATAATAGGCTGCTTTATACTTGGGCGGGGGGAATGCAACGACCATTAATGTCAGTATTTTTTATTTTGCCAATACTGACATTTTCATTAATTGTCATTAATTGTCATTAATGGTCATTAATTGTCATTAATGGTCATTAATGGTCATTAATGGTCATTAATGGTCATTAATTGTCATTAATGGTCATTAAACCCGATTACTTATTCCCTACGATCTTTTTGCCTTCGGCAAGAGTAGGGAAAAAATCTTATAATTTGAAATATGAGGGGTTTAAGTTTTTTGTTTTGACAAATGATACAAATTGTATCAAACTGAAGTATTAGAGTATTTAATTAGTAAGCATGAAAATCACTTCTCACTTTATTACGGAAATCAATGCAATAAGTCACATCAACTTTGCTATCAGTATCACCTAAACTTGTAGTGTCCGACTCAGAAATTTGATTGAACAGTTTGAGATTCGAATGAACATAAACTAACTTTTCCGCTTTTGCGGTTGAAAGTGATTAAACAACAAAATTTGTTTCTTAAAATTCGTCAACAGCTTTTAAAATTCGTACAGTTCAGCACCTTTTAAAAGTTCGTACAGTGCGTACTGACCACACTGTGAAATCGTTTTTTGTAGTTTCTGATTTGACAACTCTACAAAAGGGTTGGGTTTAGAAACGTGATTACATTTTTATAGAGGAATGGGCAGTAGTCAGTAGATCGCATTGTTTCTGCAGTTTTAAGTCCCTCAGTTAACAGTTGAACATTTTAAATTTTAACAAGATCGTTAGCAACAAATAACCATCGTTTATGCCAATCTTTATTATAAATCAGAAACGCAATTGGTGACACCGATTTTTATGGACAAACTTTGGCCGCAAATGGATCTTAATACAAAGATATAATGTATTTATGATAAAGGACATAGTAGATAAGTCTTCTAAAAGTCTCGAGGACTGACTCGTATGTATATTAAGTTGCTGTATTCTAAGACATTTCGATTTTCTCTCATTTTTCAAATCTCTAGAGTACTTCTGCACTGAAAGATCAACCTATAGTCAGGGGAAAAGTGGTCGATTTAAGGGTTTCGTCGGACATAATTCGCAACAAAGCGATTTCAATGGGAAATGGTCGGGATAGGTCCCAGAAATCATTCCAGATAGTTTCCGAAATTTCTGACGTCAGCAAAATCCACAATTACCACTTTTTCACCACCTTTTTACCACATTGGGTTTTACTTTTCTCAAATAAGTCAACTTCCGAATATCTTAGAAGATTCTAGTTTAAAGCAGTGTGTTTAGAAAACAAAGAAGAACAACTTTTTCTCCGACAACTTTTGAATAGATAAATTATTTAATTAATTAATTAAATAATTAGTAAATTTTCAGAAATGTCAAAAATACATTTCGGACAATAATGTTCACAATTACGTTAAACGTATGATGAACTAATTTTTATAACATTTTTGAAAATTTTCACTTTCAATATTTTGAGCTTGTACAATTCTCGACATTTTTAAAGAATAACCACTATCTACCACGTTTTTAATCTCCGCTAATAAAACGACTTCTGAATGTCGTTGAAGGTTCTAGATTGAACCAATGTGTTCAAAACATAAAAAAGATTTGGATTAGATAATTTATCACAATTAAATAATAGGTAAATTAAAAATTAAAAACGTTTATAAACATTTTGATTAACTTGAATAATAGAACATACACCATCACGTAGATTAAATAACAGGTAAAAATAAATAAATGCAATAAACAGACGTGTCTAGACGGTAGAATATTCAAATGTGTACAATACCTTTAAATAACTGTATATGTATAATTAAATAACTATTTACACGTCATATCTTTCAACTTAGTATTGTGCTTAACTAGATTGTTAAACTGGTTAACTCTGTTTGATGTTTGAACTTTCCTATCCTATATAAATATTTTCTTCGGATTTCCTGACCCCCATGTTCTTCAGTCCGTCCTGAATAAAGCATATATTCAATATTTCAATGCATATTATCCTCAATAAGTCACTTTTTGAAAAATTAAAGACTTAAGATATTGATGAACGATGGTCCCGTCCTATCTTTACCATTCTTCATAGCTTTGCATCTATCGTTATGATCGTACTATTTTGGATTGAATAAAGTTTACTTTTATTATAATTGGGGGATTTCAATATCGATTGGGCGCAACTGTCGTATCTGTTTAAGCAGTTTTTTAATTGGTTTTGATTCGTCATCTCCCATGGTAGCTAGATCTAGATTGGGCGCAGCTGTCTAGCAGCCATTCTAAATGAGGAAACCTAACGCATTACTTATTATCTAATTTTAATAAATTATCTAATCCAAATCTCTTTTATGTCTTGAACACATTGGTTCAATCTAGAACCTTCTACCACATTCACAAGTCGTAAATGGTGGTTATTCTTTAAAATATCGAGAATTGTACAAGCTCAAAATATCGAAAGTGAAAATTTTCAGTTGATCATACGTTTTACGTAATTGTGAACATTTTTGTCCGAAATGTATTTTTGACATTTCTGAAAATTTACTAATTATTTAATTAATTGATTAAATAATTTATCTATTCAAAAGTTGTCGTAGAAAAAGTTGTTCTTCTTTGTTTTCTAAACACACTGCTTTAAACTAAAATCTTGTAAGATATTCAGAAGTTGACTTATTTGCGAAAACCCAATATGGTAAAAAGGTGGTAAAAAAGTGGTAATTGTGGATTTTGCTGACGTCAGAAATTTTGGAAACTCTCTGAAATGATTCCTGGGACCTGTCCCGACCATTTCCCATTGAAATCGCTTTGTTGCGAATTATGTCCAACGTAACCCTTAAATCGACCACTTTTCCCCTGACTATAGGTTGATATTTCAGTGCAGAAGTACTCTAGAGATTTGAAAAATGAGAGAAAATCGAAATGTCTTAAAGTACAGCAACTTAATATACATACGAGTCAGTCCTCGAGACTTTTAGAAGACTTATCTACTATTTCCTTTATCATAAATACATACTTTGTTGCGAATTATGCCCGACAAAGGCTTAAATTGGGACGTATTTGACTTTACTAAGACATAATAGGGTCATGTTTTCATTTCTACCTGCTTTATTTTATGTGTTTATATATATACGTAACAGCATTGGTAGAATTAACATTAGACTAAGTATTCCGAAACCCTCTTGGACCTTGGTGATTAGATAATATTTCAGTCATAGCTAGTTACTTTAGATAGCAATCTAAATTAACAAAAAGATGGTGGTTGTTCTGCTGTTGTTGTTATGATCAGCAACAAGACTGCAACTACTGATATTACTAACAATCCAAGCTGCAGCGATATTTAAAATAACAGCTGCATTATTTGCAGATTATGTATGATGGGAAACAAGAGTTCGATGCAGCAGTCACAATAGTCTCCCTCCTCGGGATATTAGTTGTGGTAGGCACGCTCTGGTACAACCTTGAACCGATAATCATTAGATTTTTGGAACAAGATGATACGACAGTTCTACTTCTAGTTGACGCAGAGGAACATCCTCACAAAGATGTGGACAAGCAGGTTCCTTCCACTGAGGTAAAGGAAGAGACCTCAAACCAGCGGGAGTGGTTGCCAGGGATGTTAGCTAAGGAGCAGTATGAGACCTCAAACCAGCCGGAGTGGTTGCCAGGGAGGTTAGCTAAGTGTTTCGCTCTGCAGAGGACAATAGAGACTCTCTTCACCACCACTACTAAACCGGGACAGGTGCTCTGTCTGAACGGCATCAGGGTTCTCAGTATCAACCGGGTGGTTCTTGGTCACGCCTATTCAGCATTATTCATTGGTGGTTATTCGTACATAACAGAGCTCGTCAAGCGAAGAAATTTCATAGTGGTTTACAATGTTATTCCCTCTGATTCTTTCTTTGCCTTGAGTGGGTTTCTGGTGACATATCTCCTGTTAAAGCAGCTTGCCAAAAGAGGTGGTCTCACTCCTTTACAATGGATTGCATTCTATGTACACAGGTATGTGAGACTAACAGTGCCATATTTGGTAGCCCTGCTGATTGAGGGGTGGCGTTATAGATTCCTTATGACTGGACCACGTGCACAGCAAACACAAACAACTGATATGGGCAGTCATAAGATGTGCGAAGAGTACTGGTACACCAACGTCCTTTACATCAACAACTTGGTCCCCTGGAAGGCTGCAGCCACATGTCTGGGACAGGGTTGGTATCTGGCCAACAATATGCAGTTCTTCCTGATAGCTCCTCTCTTTGTAGTGCTCCTGTTCGGGACACCATTACTTGGAGTGCTAGCCACTGGTGGTACTATGATCTGTAGTGCTGTATCCGCTGCTGTCATAACAACTGCAGGCAGTAACCTGGATGAAATGTGGCTACAATACAATAAACCCTGGATCAGGATAACACCGTATCTAGTGGGGATATTAGGGGGCTGGTTTTATTGGAAATGGGGAAAGCAGATCTCGGATGGAGTGAAGACTCTGCCAGAGTGGCAGAAAGTGATGTGTGCTACACCAATATGGGCAGTAACCGCTGCTGTAGAGTACGCTGTGGTGTTCGGGTTGTGTGATGATGCCCAGAATATGCAGAAAGGGAATCCCGATGAAGCGGAAAGTGTGTTTTACCAGAGTTTAGCAAGGATTGCATGGTCTCTGTCACTAACCATACAGATTCTTCTCTGTCAGTGTGGCTTGGGAGGGTTCATAAACTCCTTCCTCAGCTGGAGTGGTTGGCAGATCCTCTCCAGACTCACCTACTCCGTCTTCCTCCTCCATTTAGGTCTGATAACAGCGCTGTTTGGTCAGATGAAACACACTCTCTTCCTCAATTCGGACTTTGAGTTTGCCGTACTCTATCTGGGAACTCTGGCTATGTCATATCTCTCTGCTGCTTTGTTGTACCTGGCTGTGGAACAACCTGTCGCTAATCTAGAGGGTATCACATACAGGAAGAGCATTTAGATCAGCTTGATTAATAAATATCATGCAGGGGATGACACCTGTCACTACCGATTGAAATATGTTTTATTATGAACAATCATTTATTATTTTAAAATTTCTAAATTTGGTGCATTTTATTTTTAATCGTGTCAATAGTGGGTGAATGTAATAATCCTCTTCTGATATTATCTGTTGCTAATTTCTGAAAAATTAGCCGATTTCAAAATTCGTGAGTCTGGAAACAAAGTAGAATAACTGTTAATTATGCGTAATTAAAAGAAGCCAATCTATAGATTGGCCTTTTAAAGCTATCTAGCGGTTTAATAATATTCTCATACTGCAAGGATGCAGGGAGTTCTAGTTTTTCCTGGGTGTGTGAGACACTCTACCATACACCACACGCACCAATTTTAACATTCCACGTACCTGGTTCGGATACACCGGAGCGGGGGGATCAGGTACTAAGTTCCCCCCCCCCCCCTCCCCGACCGGAGACGAATGCTTTAAATTTTTACCGCACATGACCTAGACCTAACTTTAGACCTAAGAGAGTATTGATTAGTGCTAAGGAAAGGTCTAACGTTTGTCTTTCACGCTAGTTTAGATTTTTATTCTTCATCTGATAAACGAAGTCGTCAGGGACCTTTTTGGAGTGTGACGTCATGGTCGATACTGCGAAATCCTTATTGGAGGCCTGTCTCCCGCGCCGGGTTGTATGTATAATATGCTAAACTTTATACAAACATTGTTTAAAATTTAACATAATGTCTATATTATATGTAATTGTATGTCCCAGGTTTATCGTGACATGTCAAGACTTGAATCACATAGATCTCTCCGGATGTAAGCTCCCTCCCGACGTTCTCAAGTTACTACTATCTGGAATATCCGATAATATCCTTCTTACAGAAGTTTACCTAAACCTCTCTTTTTGTGAGGTATTATTAAATGGAGCTCATATCACTGCTATGTCTTTAAGCTTATAAATTAACAGTCGCATAATCATAATATATTACAATCCAGGTGCTTTCATCTCTAAAATTGATTATCTACATTGTACATTACTATACTTTATCAAAACCAGCCTATTATATATATATTAATAAATAATTTTGAGAAAAGAAAAAATAACTAAAATGAAGCTACTATAAATTTGGCAGCTACTTCCTAATCTGTATATTAATATCATTGCTTAGATAAGTTTACTGTATCAGTTTTCGGTCCACCGGGTAATGTTAAGCAAATATCGATTAAATCTAACTCTCGCTGTATTTAAACATCATTTCTACTGACAGTGCTTGTATTTTGTAGGCATCCTCCGTTATTAGCATTATCTCCCATTCCTACCCTCTGAGAGCTGAACAGTCTAGTGTATCTCGCAACCAGTGTTGTTGTGTAAGTTCTGAAGGTAGGGTTAGTCAGGAAGTATATAACAGGGTTCGAGAAAGTGGAAACAAACGTGGTAGCCACCGTCCACCTCAACTCCACCGAGTCAGTCCAGTTCTGACGGTTCTTCAGAAAGTACACGAAGTGAGGCAAAATGGAGGCCAGGAACACCCCTGTTACAAACACCACGATGGAGACATTAGACCAGTTGATGGTGGTGTGAGTATGTTTGAAGGCTATGTAGATCAGAATAGCGTTCATGATGACGAGAGCTAAGCAGGGGCCTATCTGAAGCAGTATCGCACAAACCAGATCCAGTCTGTTGAAAAAATATCTCGTGACGTTGGTCTCATGGTCCCAGCAGTAGCACAGATACTCTGAGAAGGACACCTCCAGGTCCCCGCTAGCACCCCACCCCCACCTCCACACGGGCTGGGTCGCGCACAGCACCACCGTTCCCACGGTAACCGATACTCGCTGCTTCCACGTGCTGTGAAGATTCCGCAACGGATACCGACACCTCAGCACCTTGTTGAGGGAGAGGATGTTGATAAGGATCATGTTGGAGAGGACAGCACAATACCGGTACTGGGACACCACCTCACACGCTACTGTTCCCAGGATCCAGACCTTACCAGCGTGCAGGGTGATGAGGATGGGGAGGAGGAGGAAGAGGAGGTGCAGGATATCAGTCACAGAAATGTTCTGGATCAGCCACACTGACATCTTGTCCATCTTTATTGCGCTGTGTTTGATGGTGCTGTGAAGGACGAACAGGTTACCTGATATACCAAGGATGAGAGACATGTAACACCAGGTCATGTAGAGATTGTCAGCTGCGGTTAGATTCATCTTCCCTGGGGTGGAAATTGTGTGGAACTGTTTGTGTCACTACAACCTTGGCAAAAAAAGCAGTGTCGAAATGAAGAAATATCGTAACGGCTCTTATTATAGCTTTATAGACACTGTTAGTATAGCTATTATAGCCTCAGTTAGTATTCTAGTAATTAAGCCAGCTGTTACGCTAACAGCCGTCTAATAATATCTATAATGATAAATAATGTTAAACTTAATACCTTATCGGACCTTATTTGGACGGAAATTACATGAACGGACATAATTATGAACAGACATTAATATGAACGCTCGAAGGCATTCAAAACCATCAAAAATCCAAATTTTTTTTGACGTTTTTTTGACGTTTTTTAAATTTCAGCAAATGATTTTTAAATCCATTTTTTATACAGTTAGTAAGAAAAACAGTAATTAAGCAGTAAAAGTGTTTAAAAATGTGTACATGATCAGTGTCTAATATCACATATCATCTTCATCAAATGGGTTTTCGTGCATGAAATAGTCCATGCTTAAAGTATCAGTGATTTCTTAGCTTTATTGAAATCTTTTTTTATCAAACTACCCCGGTCCTGCATTTCAGTGTTAACTTTTACAAGCCATTCGGCGTGAAGTGGTTTTATCTTAGACAACCTTAAGGTTAACATCACGTGGAGCTTTCCTAGCACTGTTTTATTACCGCCCCCGAGTAATATGAACTATAACAACGTCGGACAATGTCCTTGGCAACACGATTTACCCATAATATAGACGCTGGAACAAGTTTGTCATGTTGGCGGGGACTAGTTGTTGAGTGCCATAATTTCGTTGACTTTTTTCCGTCAAGTGACCCTTGAAAACATCATATACTAGTAGTAGTAGTAGTAGAGTTTTCTGTGCCTCCGGCAGACCAATGAGAAACTTTCCGTCGTTAACTTACGGCACAATAAAGTTCTCAAAGTCTAGTTGTCATATTCTGGACAAAAAGTTCGAAATGGAAAAATTTTTGAAAACATTTCAACGGACTTTATTTGAAAGGACATTAAAGTGAACGCTAGGGCCTCCAGCGTTCAAGTAATGTCCGTCCAAATAAGGTCCGATAAGGTATACGAAGGCTTGATAAACGTACAAATTACAAACAGCTGACCGTCTGGTATGTAAATACTGTGGAGAGTAGGTGTTTAGTTGGTTTATAGTTTACGCTGTGTGTGTGGGAACAATAAAGATGGAGTAAACCAATTAAAATATAAATGCACGTGTGGGAAGTGCACTATTGTTTAAATATTTACTACAGACCACTCGTGTTATAAATTATATCACTCCGCTTAGGATCTGGGGCTAGAATAAAAGATTTTAATAAACATAGAGAGGCTTTTAGCACCGCAGTAATCTGATAAGCTAGCACTGAACTATAAACTTACTTCATACTATCAAATCATCATAACGAGAACGTGTTATAGACTGGGTCCCAGTGTTATACTGTTATACTTATAGCTTTATAGTTGCGTAAACAAACCCGCTCTTCCTGACCAAACCAACCTAGCCTATTATATATATTATATACCTTACTCGGGAATATTATAGCGGGTTAATTTATGACTGGGAAAATTAATAACCGGGAAAAATATGGAGGAATTTCCCAAAACCCGCCAAATTATCCCGGTCATGTATTTACCGGTGGCCGACCTTTCAAGTTTTTTTCCAGAGGTCAACAAATTTTCAACCGAAATTTCTGTTTTTGTTACTTGTTAAAGAAGCTATTTCAATTTACAGTTACTGATATTACTCAGAAATAGAAAAAAAGACACGTCTAGTATTTGAAGGAAAATAAATCTATAGCAATAATAAGTCAAATCTTCATTAAAGCGTATTCTCATTCTCATTATCGCTAATGTCCCCTCCATTATCATTATTTATATCACCCTGCTGCTGACCGTCAAATTCGAAGTTGTATTGTTGTCTTAACAAAACTTTCATTTTGTCCGCTAATGGGCCACTGCTCTGAAGGTCAGCCGGAGCTTAATTTCCTGCCCACCGCTTGGTATTGGGGAACGTCTTGGCTTTGCATCTTCAACTGCTCCAGTAATCAATCCACCGTGGACCATGAAATAGTGGCACAGTTTACTCACTTCATGGGCAAGAAAAGTGAGAATCACGGTCCACCCTGAAATCTGATTTCTATAACCAAATTGTGATTTTTATAACGAAATTATGGTAGCAACCGCCAATAAAGTTACATCCCTCCATCCACTGCTTCAAAAGTCTTCTCTAGCACATATGAGACTTCGGGTAAAATATGATGATCACCACCCCCTTGGAACCCCATAATCTGAGTCGGCGGGTTTTTTTATGACTGGTAAAATTTATGACCGGGAAAAATATGGCGGAATCTTCCAAAACCCACCACTTTATCCCGGTTATAATAATCCCGAGTAAGGTAATTAATTCATGTATATGATTAGTTTATGTAGATGATGAATTCATGTATATGATTATACTAGTTCATGTAAATGATGAATTCATGTTTATGATTATTACAATATGTATATGATTAGTATGATTTGTATGCAAAACGATTCTGAAACCAATTTTCTGTTGCAATTGAGAGGACGCAACCAGATTCATCCTCTACTCTGGTTAAAAAGAATCAATTTCATATGTGCAACAAGGGAAACGCCAACTTATGATATAATATGGTGTAGCAAGCTGAATAGAAACTCAAAATGTTGCGAAGGTATTTTAATGTGTAACACGAGTTGGTAGGTATTGAATTACAGTGAGCGACATTAAACCGATGAATATTGTTACAAGATATATCCATTGCATTATTCATATTAATTTCAGCAATAATCAAGTCAATCAAAAATGTGCCAAAATGCGACTAATTTGAAAACATAAGCGCCATCAAGAAAATTTTAAATTTCTTTAAAATTTGCGATAACTGGAACAGAATAGGATTTGAAATAGTGAGAGCACGAAACATCAACGTTTGTTACGCGACAACGATTTACCGATTCAGAATGAATTCAGTGCTTCAGTCCTCACCAACATTTTACGCAAAATATAGACCAGTAATCAGTATGTGTTAAAATATTTTCCCTACTCAGATTTCATTTCTAACCTAGTATATAGTATAACGCAATAAAAGGCATAGTTTTGATCAGACGGTCATGACTTCCAGACTTCTGACTGGAAAGTAAGGTTAAGAATCCTTTACGTGCACGACAGTCCCCTTATCATGACACTTCTAAAATAATTTAACGTTAGTCACCATACCTAACCTCACATCCTGATACCAGCTAGGAATAAGCGGAATCAGACTGCTAGCATCACTGCTCCCCTCTCTTACCAATGTGACAAGCTTGATACTGAGCAGTAACGAGGGTGAGGGAGAGTTGAGCACGCTGCTCACTGCTCTACATGGTTACAAGGGGGTCAAACACCTCGATATCAGTGACAACTTCAAGTTAAACAAACTCAAGTAAGTTTCAACGGTGGGTAATTAAAGTTTATGTGTTGCTGATTATCATATTCTTAGTTTTAGACTTAAGTTTGCACGGATCAGTCAGTGTAAAATTTCTTACTCCGATTTCACGATATCACTGTACCAACTATCATCTAAAATAGAATCTTTATTAAATCGTTTCAGAGATAAGAGATTCTTTGTGAAGACACTGATATCATTAGTGGAGGACAAGGAGAACACAATACAAAGTCTCAATATCTCTAACTTGAAGTTGAAATCAGAACTCAACCCTTTTATAGGTCAGTTACAGAGCCCCACCCCCCCCCCCCCCCCCCCCCCCCCCATTTGTTATTTTGTTAAGGATAACAAAATAACAAATGACACAATTACAAGGTGACACAGTTTATCAGATATTGTCATGTTCTTATTGAACCTATTCCAAAATAAAAATAAATATAAGAAGATTGAGATTTTAAGGAATTCCCGGCACATTTCATATCCACTTACGTGAATAAGCGGCGCTTTCCTTCTGTTTACTTATTTAATTTAGTAAGTCCATCATTAGACAAACATAACTTAAGGGCGGTAGAACTATTCGATGACCCAGTAGAGGAATCTACGAATCTCTCCAAAGTATTCAAAGTTAGTAACCTCTCTCTCTCTTCAGGATGTCTAGCATACAACAAGAAACTAAGAGAGTTGGATATGAGTGGTAACGCCACCCTTAACTCAGGAGCTAGGGTACTTGCCCAGTCACTTTCTGTCAACAAAACCCTCAGGTAATGTTCTTTATTTATTATTTAACTTGTTTTTAGCGAGGAATTGTTTTTATTACGGAGTTATATTTTACTGACAGTTGTTATTGAAACTCTTATATCTTTGAATAATTGTAGAAATCAAGCTGACAAGCTATTGCTTCTAGAAAACGTTTATGCTTCTAGAACACACCACATTATGCGGAAGAGATTACATAGTATTACCAGTACCACAGTTTAATTTTGTGGTATTGCTTCCGAGTTAATCTTCTGCAACAAGTTCAAGTTGACAATCCCTAAAATCTAGTTTCCTAAAATCTAGTTTCCTAAAATCTAGTTTCCTAAAATCTAGTTTCCTAAAATCTAGTTTCCTAAAATCTAGTTTTTCTCACAGCAGGAGAGGGCTCTCTAAGATGAGATTAAACCTCTAACCCGTTTTGTTCCACCCTCCCATGTCGTGGTAAGATCGCATACTATGTACCCTGTATAAAGCAGCAGCAACCGCTATTTATCTGTCTATACCACATACGTGTTCTGTAAATATTGATCTGTACTGATCACCACTTGATTTCTTTTAGGGGTTTTGAATATTTTAATGGTGTAAACAGTTTCTTAATAATACCACATACGTGGTGTGAACATCATTCTGCTGAAAGATGGTGAATTAACTCCCGCACCCGCTTTATCCTGATTGTTCATTGTAATCAATCACGTTGGTGAAGTTGAGGGTTTAAATAGGAGCTCATGGTATTAAATGTTTTAACTAGTCTGCTAACATGTGCTGTTTGTTAAGCCTCACTGATTGTGCCGTCTATATTGTTTAACTTTTTCATTGGAACACTATACACAATTTAATGCAACTATTGAGATTTATTAATGATCAACGTGATATTGACATTGAAAACTGTATGTATAAGTTCAGTCTTTTATCGTATTGTTATAGTGTCCCACTGTTATCAGGGACAAAATGAAATCGCGGCATGTGCGGATTTTTCCCATTATTTGCGACAAATTTTATGTATAGCCTTATGTATAGTCTGTTAAAAATCGCGGTATCGATTTTTTGTCCCACTGTTACTGTTGCTACGCTACCGGCGGCGCTGCACGTTACTGTTGCTACGCTACCGGCGGCGCTGCACGTTACTGTTGCTACGCTACCGGCGGCGCCGCACGTGTCTGCCTCGCAGAACGTGCCTTTCACGGCAGTTAAATAAATTTGCTACACTACTCTAATTCTGGTTAACTAACTAACATAATATGTAGCAAGCTGGAGCTTCAGATAAAGCTCTTCTCTGTCATTAGCTGTGTACCGTGTGTGCTATTGTTATACAAACACTACAGTCTGTATATTGTGGACACAATGATCTGTCCTCCGTTTGTTTTGATTGTGTATCGAGAGTTTGATAATATGTTGAACACTAAAGGGCCTGTTCACTCCCTCTCTCTTAGGGACTGAATATTCAATTTTGTGTTGGATAATAATTGAGAATGTTTATGTTAGAAACGGATTGGTAGTTAACTATTTTCTGAGTAACCTAATTTGACTGTCGATTTGATCAAGTGAGCGTCGTTTCCCTGGGTTGTTGTGCAAACTGTTGTGTACTGTTTTATGTGTGTTTGCTCTTGATCAGGTGAAAGTCTAGTCTATCTTTTGTAAACTCAGCCTGGTAAAGTGCTGATAAAGTGCTGATAAACTTGTTATTTGCGCTTTATTAAGCCTGGTAAAGTGCTGATAAACTTGTTATTTGCGCTTTATTATTGGTGGAACCGGCGTTGTAAACTCAGCCTGGTAAAGTGCTGATAAACTTGTTATTTGCGCTTTATTATTGGTGGAACCGGCGTTGTAAACTCAGCCTGGTAAAGTGCTGATAAACTTGTTATTTGCGCTTTATTATTGGTGGAACCGGCGTTGTAAACTCAGCCTGATAAAGTGCTGATAAAGTGCTGATAAAGTGCTGATAAACTTGTTATTTGCGCTTTATTATTGGTGGAACCGGCGTTGTAAACTCAGCCTGGTAAAGTGCTGATAAACTTGTTATTTGCGCTTTATTATTGGTGGAACCGGCGTTGTAAACTCAGCCTGGTAAAGTGCTGATAAACTTGTTATTTGCGCTTTATTATTGGTGGAACCGGCGTTGTAAACTCAGCCTGGTAAAGTGCTGATAAACTTGTTATTTGCGCTTTATTATTGGTGGAAGCGGTGTTGATTTGTGATTAAGTGTATGGTTTAAAAAGTGGTTGTTATTTGAAAGTGCGTGTGAGAACGCACGTCTGATCTATGAGTAAAATAGAGTTGATAAGTAAACCTCTAATATCTATCGTCACATTTTATCTGCAAGAAAAAGAAATTCAGAAATAACTTGGAATTTGCACGAAAATACCGAGACTAAGAATTTTCAGAAGCTCCAGATCACTGATCAATCATTAAACTGTGTGCACTGTGATAATAAAATTAAGTACATCAGCTAACCGAGCTAACTTAATTAACTTATGTTTTTAGGACTGAAGATATGCACCTCTTGTTAAAGTGAAATGTGATTTATTAATGTAAATGCTAGAATAATCTTGATTCTGTGTACCTACAAATAGTATTAAGTAAAGTTCGTTGTCTGATACACTTCATGTTGACCTCTCACCCTATATCTAATCGCAATAATATTTTGATTTGGAACCAACGCTTTGGAACCAACGTACAAACTTAATTTAAATCTAATTCTACTTCTTTCTCTTACACTCTCAGGACAGAACTTCTTCTTTACTCACCTATCACATGTCTTTACTTTTCAGCAGCTATAATTTCTCTCCTCTATTCTGCACTACCCATCTATTGTAACCACATTTCAGATCAAGTAAGATAATTGATGAGGTAAAATTCCTTACACTATTTACCTGGTTTGCACATCTCCGTCACGTGTTTTGATCACGTGACCAGCTTGGAAATGAGAGGTGACGGACTAGGAAGAACACCCGTGGATCCATATCTAATTAGTGTACATATTTTGTGATCGTGTTTGCCACACGCGGGTGTGCTCTGTTATTACGAGTGATCAGCAGCTATTACTCCATTATTTTATTAGATCGTGTAGCGGAGACTGGGTATCGCGTAGCGGAGACTGGGTATCGCGTAGCGGAGACTGGGTATCGCGTAGCGGAGACTGGGTATCGCGTAGCGGAGACTGGTATCGCGTAGCGGAGACTGGGTACGCGTAGCGGAGACTGGTATCGTGTAGGCGGAGACTGGGTAATCGCGTAGCGGAGACTGAGTATCGTGTAGCGGAGACTGGTAAGCGCGTAGCGGCGACTGGTATCGGCGTAGCGGAGACTGGGGTATCGTGTAGCGGAGGGACTGGGTATCGTGTAGCGGAGACTGGGTATCGTGTAGCGAGACTGGGTATCGCGTAGCGGAGACTGGGTATCGCGTAGCGGAGACTGGGTATCGTGTAGCGGAGACTGGGTATCGCGTAGCGGAGACTGGGTATCGCGTAGCGGAGACTGGGTATCGCGTAGCGGAGACTGGGTATCGCGTAGCGGAGACTGGGTATCGCGTAGCGGAGACTGGGTATCGCGTAGCGGAGACTGGGTATCGCGTAGCGGAGACTGGGTATCGTGTAGCGGAGACTGGGTATCGTGTAGCGGAGACTGAGTATCGCTTTACTCGTTTCCTGCTTGTGTTTTTATTCAGGAATGTTAGTTTAGTTAGTTTACGTGCGCCAAATTGTTGTGCTTACTTGTTGTTAAGTTAATAGATTGATTAATTTAAATTGATCATCAGTAATTTTGTTTTAGGAAGATAGCCCTAGATAACAACCAGATATCTCTTCAAGGGTTTAAAGATCTAGCAGCAGCTTTCTCTCTGTGAGTCTATATTTAGTAATTAATAATGATACAGATCAGCAAATGTTGATTACTTTGTAAAACAGCAATCCAGCTTGCACTGACAGAAGTAAGAAATGATTTCTGTGGAATGCAGATTTTAAATTAAATTAAATTTCTGTGGAATGCGGATTTTAAATTACCAATCCTTCCACAGAAACACCACCCTCCAAAGTTTGGTATATCCTTATCAAGATATAGGTTCCTCTTCAAGATCGAATGAGATCGCTTCTTGTATTAATAAGGTTAGTTGCTGTCTAGATATCACCCTATCGAAACAGTGTACATATTTTATAATTGTCTATTCGTCGTTATTTCGTATCGTTACAATCTCACTTCAATTCGTCCTATCTTCCTCGCATTTTATTTACAGACTTAATGCAGCCTCTCTTAAAATAGCGAGTGGTAAATTTTGACAAATATTTGATAATTTGGCTTTTAATCTCTTAATCACAGCCGGATCCACCTATAAGAATTAAGAAATGGTGCCTTTCTAGCCGATGATTAATGACAATTTCCAAATACATGTTTGCAACATGATGTTATTATATTGTGCACAAATTATTTAATCATAATTAATCTCTTCAATGTGTTTAGTAAATGTACGCAGCATAGTTGCAGCACATACTTTTATCAAAAGTTTGAAATTGTTGATTGTGAAAAATGCGCGCTGCTAAAAGGTATGGGCGCAATAATGCAGCTGTTAAAGCCGCCCTAATTGTAGCCGATAAGATAATAAGTAGTTAACAACACCCCTCATGTAGATAAGGTATAATGTACTATAACCCTAGTCCCTAACATTAAAATTGTACCGCACTGAAAGAGCAATGACCGATACTTTAGCCGCAGGTAAACTGTATAGCCACTCTGTTGCGGTTCGTTAGCCGAAACAAATACCGCTGCTTGTAACATGAGGCCCGGAGTAGTCTGCACATTCTACTCGAGCTGATAACGTTTTCCTTGCATCTCAACCTTGTATTCTAACAATGTCTGAATCACATTCTGTGAGATCATCAAGTGGTGGCTCCCACGGGAGGATCCAAGACTCGACCCTCCTGGAGAGTGTTAACGAGATACGGGACATGTTGACCGAGATATTATCCATGACAAGGTCGAACAGTGTCGTGTCCAGCTACCCTCCTTCTTCCACTCAGGGCAGTGAGCTGCATGATGATCTGATCACTGTTTTTGCGGAGGAGGTCACTACGCTCTCACTTGATGATCTGCGAAACACGATACCTCCTTCCCGCTACATCTCTACCTCGTTAGATGGTGTTTCTACTTCACTTGATATTCATGTTGTAGGATCGGAGGTGGCACCTTCGTATGCTTACCAATATTCCTTAGACGGTTACCCTGCTTCTGCTCCGGATATTTTAACCTCCGATATGACTGGAGACGATCCTCGGCGTGGTTCTAACCTAAAAGAGCGTGAAACGGAGGATCATGCGAAGGATCAGTTGCTAGATAGCGGACGAATTACTACTCATCATGAAGGATCCTTCCTCGCTCCAGAATCAGATCATAATTGTGTTTATAAACTGGAGTTCTCTGACTTAGAATCTCTCTCAAACGTGTCCGATCATGAAACCGCGGGGGAAGCCATTGATTTTTTTATATCTGGAACTGAAGACGATATTTGTGGTGATGGTCTTTGTCTCAATAACCATTTTTGTTGCTCTCGGTATGTAAACCCACGCTATGCTGTAAACTCCCTCTCGTATATGGACTCTCACTCTGAGGAAGAATTCCTTACCGCTCCTGCTTCTCTTTTTGGGTCACGAGACTCTTTGATCACTGCATATCCTGTGAAATCCTACTTGAGTGATGTGAAGACATCAAAAAGAGAGAGGGATGTCAGTTGGATGGTGGGGAAGGTCGAGAGATTGTTGAAAAGTGATAGAGTGATATCCGGCAATGTGAAACATATTAGAAACTGTCTGAATCAGCTTACCGAGCCTAGTGACCATCCAAACGTAAGTTAAGGACAAATAAATAAAATATGGTTTTTGAAACATAAATCGCTGATTTCCTCTTAATTGCTTTTCAACAAAAAGTAATTAGACAAAAACTCTAATTACAAATCATAAAATAAACACTAATTGGTCTTATCCTAGACAATACCTCACTTAACTACTTTATCAGTTGACATCTTCAACTACAACATTTTTAATAAAACCAGTCATCTAAGCTACGCACACATGCTACATGAAGAGGTCTCCACCTAGTCGTTGGAGTGGCCTGTATCAAACACATCCCTTGTACGACGTAACAGGTTCCATCATTCCACTTGGTTCAATGCTAACTGACGTACTGTATATCGATTGATGTTGTCAACACCTGTAAAGTTAGCAGCATCCTCGAGTACACAGGCCATCCAACCGTTTCGGGGTCTCCCTCGTGACCGCTTTCCATAGTTAGGTTTCCAATCCAGTAGAAAATTTGGAAACTTAGTCTCTGGCATTCTTACAATGTGTGTGTACTACCGTAGTCTAACAGAACCGATGAAAGTGTATACTGTATAATTATATATATTATATACTATATACTTTGGAAGTGCTTAAACAGGCAAAATTCTTAAAGTTGCCGTTTTTTGCCTTAAAACGTCTAGATAGGACCATGGACGTAAGTTGGTAAAATATTTCTGTGCTTAAAAGGTTGAGTTTAGTCAATGTCTCATGTCTCTACGACCTTGCCTTCAATCTGTCTCCGCGCCTCAACCTTTAAGACGCAGGCACATCTCAACCGTTGATACTTGATACATAGGGACTCGAGAGAGTCCTCAAACTGGGGTACCAGGTGCAGTGTGCACAATAGTGTGGTTGGAAACACGTCTTACTTTTGTTCCTAAGTCAGTCCTTCTGTGATTTCATCTAAGCTAGCCAAATTAATTAACTTTAACTTTCGGCCTTGCACTTTGTCTTGAACAGCGGTCCTCGGAGCAGACTGTTTCCATCAATTTAATATGTAGTTGTTCTTCTTACAGTTTAAAAACTGTAACTTTTTATTTCTTCCACAGCAGCTATTTTCTTACAAAACTAAAAGAAACTAGTTTATAACTTTAAAGACTCATTAGGACCTTCTTATTTTTACGATCCATAATCATACCTTCTTTTGAGTATTATTGTTCATCGCCTCTGTTAATCCGAGCCCTAAACCAGACATCACCCTGAACACATCCTTAATCTACTCCTTATCTTTCACATGATTTATTTATACCTCAGAATTTCTCCCAACTCAGTTACATCACTCCTGCAGCTACTGGTTACCTTGCCAGACCAGTAATTAACCGTTATCAGGATGTTAACCTCTAGTTCATCCTAAAATATGGAGTCTTAATAACTTTTTTACCGCGTACCATTTGCAGATGACCAGTGTCGTAGAGAAGAACAATTCACCAGATATTGCAGGAGGTGACCTGCTCCTTCATCAACAATACTTTATCCTCAACTCTTCTGAGAATCTGGTAAGTCACTGAGAGCGAGTTTTTGCTTTTCAGCTATTTATCTGAAAATGCAACGATTTAAAATATTATGTGAGTTTTGCTTTCCAGTCAATTATTCAAAATTGCAACTATTTATTTCGCCAAATTTTGAGCCTTTAGGCACTCTCGGGTTGGATTATTCAATAGCGTAGTATATAACGTTGCCGCACACGATTCATGAGTTTTACACAACAAATAACTTGCAAGGTTAATTTCTTACACTGAGTTTCCTGACAATTCAAGATGTATAAATCTAGCATTATATCCTCATAGAAGTTTTTGCGATTATATGGGCAGGATAACTGGGGCTAGTTGAGCTCTGGTTGTGGGCATAATAGAGGCAGAATATTCAATATTGTAACTTTACAACATTAGATTCCAAACTATAATACTATAATATCATCTAACTATACCTATAACTATGATATTATATCTAATCGTGAATAAGTGACTAAATTTCAATCTGTTGAGCGCCATGAATTACGTTCTAGCTTGATTAGTTATACATTCGCCAAGATTTAATTCACCCTTGTTTTTTTATCGCTGCATTATCAACTTGCCATCAGATAATAATAATAATGAACTTTCTGGGAAGGAAAATTGTATTCTATATGTTTTTTTCTTTCCTGATTTTAAATAGTAGTTCTTCTTTTCGATGTTACGTCATGAAAAACGTTTGACCCTAATCATTATAGAACGAATAACCGCCGATGGTGTGAAAAAGTGTGGTACATACTATATATTTTTACCAAAAACCGGTCCCCAAACATATCAATAGTGCGATTCCGCACCCACCGCACCTATATGTTACCTCTGTGGGTGACCGGTAAATAAACCGGTAGACTATTCTCAACATTCTGCGCGATTTTCTGATTAGATGGTACGAAACACTTTTTCCCGCTTTTGCTTTTTACAGATGTTAAAACACTGTTTTCACCATCTCTTGATATTCTGTCTCCAAACACGTACCATATAAAGTGTTCATTTCACCTGGTAATTAAGTCACGGTAACACCAACTCCTTCCTGACAACAACAACAGCTGGTCAGCCGTGACACACCAGTCACGGGTCACTACACCCTGACTCTCACAAACACACGACTCTTGTTACCTGCAGCCCTCATAACAACCACCCAGCTGGGCTACATTATAAAACACATTCTCTAAATATGCTGACCCGGCCAGACCCCCAAACAGATCATGTTACCCGCCTCCCACCACACAACTCCCTGTATAATGCCTATTTGAACGGGTCTCATCTCGGATTTCAACGAGTTCTCGGTAGTGTTCAATTTCTGGTTTACCTTGCGTGCGTGCTGTCTGTTGGGTAGGAATATGAAGAAGAGTACTTTGAAGGTAGGAACTCATGTAATGTGGGGTTAATTAATTAATTAATCAATCCAATTATACACTCGGATGTAATTAATCCAATTGTTGTGGAGTTAAGCTGATCATACTCATTACGTAGCCAGATGTGGTCTACCTTGTGTATATATATTAGTTCTCTCTCCGTCTCTACAATATGTTGTTTTCGGTTTGTGTATTATATTGTACATCTTTATTTGACATTACATAATTGTATAATCATATGTCCTTCTTCGTTGCAGTAAAAATCATGATTGTGATATTTAAGATTCATATTGTAACAGGTTGTGATTATCTTTCTTGTTGCTTTAAGGAAGCAGCGATTGCAGGGAACTATTTTGATGTTGCCATGGCAAGTCCCCATACATCGTGGTCCGGTAGTTTCATTGCGTTCTAATATATGAACTCAAACAAAGCAATTTCCATAGCCCAAAAGCGACTGTAAAGTGTGGACTGTGTATTTTGTGTGATGAAGTACTGCTTGAGGTGATAATAATACACATAAAATAGGAGGAGGGTGTCAGTTACAAGTTACAACATTCTTAGCTCAAAGACCAACTTCATATGAGAAAACAAAAGTATTTGCTTTATCTGCACTTTGAATTGCCTTCTGAGTCAGCGTAGACCCCTTGTTTTTATACTAGCAGGAAGTTTAGAGGTATAAGGTACTTAGTATAGTCACGTGACATGATTGGAAGTATCTGGAAAGTGACACTTGACACCAGCTCCCATCTCCCCACTGCAGCAACCTCATTAACTTGTTATTTTTACACTTGCTACACCCAATCGTGGCTGTTGGGGCTACTCTCCAATTTTACATTAATTGTCCATCCTACCGTGTTTGTTACTAGTGTAGTAGTAGTAGTAGTAGTAGTAGTAGTAGTAACCTAGTAATAACCTTGTTATGAGTAACCTTGTGTAACCTTGTTATGAGTAAACATGACGAGGTAGTGACTAGTGACGAGTGGTGTTCACATGGTGATGGCTTTACTTATGAAAGTCATTGGTAGCAATAACATGCTTATTGCTTAAGTGCTTAATTAGTAATAGTCATTACAGTTTAATTCTCGTTGTCTTCCTGTCTTACCTTGTTATCTTTTCGCTTTCAACATTTTTGTGTTTTGTCCTTAAATTGTGTTATGTTTGGGACGAATGTACAACGCACTGGGAGATGGCTGATAATTTCACCCCTCGACATTAGCCCGGTTCATAAAACTAAAATATCATCAAACTGAAATTTATATAGGCTTATCTGTTGTGCCTAAGGCCAAATAAAATAACTACCAAAAACTTTTCAAGCTTCAACTCCAACCGAAACCACCGGCTCCTGCCACGCCCATTTTTTTCATCAATTTTTAACAGGTAAAAATCTCCATATCATCAATTTTGACACGAAAGAGTGCTTTTAAGTTTTAATGCTCCAAAATGTTCACATCATACCATTTGTAAACAAGGTGTCAAGGTTGTTGAGTCAGGGTTTGAGTTAGTGTTATGGTTAGGTTTGGGGATTAATTAAGGATCATGGTTAGATGTACGTGTGGGACGTGCGTGTTAAATGCTCAGTATTAGGGGGTAAAAAGTAGTGGGATGAGACATTCGAGGATCAAATATCGCACACCTGGATCGTTCAGCGAGGTATGCTGTTATTCCTGGACTGGGGAGTTGCAAGAAACTCGATACACTACTTGTGTATTCATCAACATACCCACAATCCAGTTTTCGCACATTGGTATACTTGTAACCGTTGTATCAAAGCTTATGGAATGAAAGCTCCATAATTAAATGATGTAACGTGTTTTTGCCGGGCTTTCCTTGTAATATTATACCTATTCTGCAGAATTTTAAGGGAGCAGTTTTGATGTAGAGTTATTTCATTACTTTTCATGTTTAGTTCATATTAGGAAATCATACATAAGAAAATCATTTTTCCGGATTCAAAGTCTGTCATAAGTTTTGAGTATAGAAAAGTGAACTTGAATCTCCAGAGTTCGGGCAAACCACTTGAATCTGAATTATATATATGTATATAAATATTTTCTATTGGCATGTTAATTTGTGACTTTTGTCTATTGTTTCATCACTGGCAGTTCAACTTGATCGTCCGTCGACGAAGATTTTTTTTCTTCAAACTTTATACATATCGTAAAAATGCCACCACTAGGCAATATAGAAATATTGCTAACTTAAATAATAAATATCTAGCCTTACTACTTTGTAACTACGTCAGATCAATGAGCATGCAATGACCTGCTAATACATTCTGCATGTTTACATGGTACCTACACTGGTACACTGATCTAGGCACGTTTTATTTGTACAACTAAGTGATATATTGTACAACAACATATTATTATTAGTAGATAGGAAGAAGATGATTACGTTTTGTTGTTTTACTATTTACCATTTACCGAGTGCTCAGGTTGTCTGAATTATGAGTACATAATAATCTCATATTTTTACTTGACTCTTGTTCTAGGTACTGACTCTTGTTCTAGGTACTGACTCTTGTTCTAGGTACTGACTCTTGTTCTAGGTACTGACTCTTGTTCTAGGTACTGACTCTTGTTCTAGGTACTGACTCTTGTTCTAGGTACTGACTCTTGTTCTAGGTACTGACTCTTGTTCTAGGTACTGACTCTTGTTCTAGGTACTGACTCTTGTTCTAGGTACTGACTCTTGTTCTAGGTACTGACCCTTGTTCGAGGTACTGACTCTTGTTCTAGGTACTGACTCTTGTTCTAGGTACTGACTCTTGTTCTAGGTACTGACTCTTGTTCTAGGTACTGACTCTTGTTCTAGGTACTGACTCTTGTTCTAGGTACTGACTCTTGTTCTAGGTACTGACTCTTGTTCTAGGTACCAACCCTTGTTCTAGGTACTGACTCTTGTTCTAGGTACTGACTCTTGTTCGAGGTACTGACTCTTGTTCTAGGTACTGACTCTTGTTCTAGGTACTGACTCTTGTTCTAGGTACTGACTCTTGTTCTAGGTACTGACTCTTGTTCTAGGTACTGACTCTTGTTCTAGGTACTGACTCTTGTTCTAGGTACTGACTCTTGTTCTAGGTACTGACTCTTGTTCTAGGTACTGACCCTTGTTCTAGGTACTGACTCTTGATTTAGATACTGACCCTTGTTCTAGGTACTGACTCTTGTTCTAGGTACTGACTCTTGTTCTAGGTACTGACTCTTGTTCTAGGTACTGACTCTTGTTCGAGGTAATGACTCTTGTTCTAGGTACTGACTCTTGTTCTAGGTACTGACTCTTGTCCTACGTACTGACTCTTGTTCGAGGTTATGACCGTAAGGTTTTTATTTTGATATGGATCTTATAAGATTAAGTATAGGCTATACCTCCAAACTCCCAGTCCTGGGTAAACAACAGGAGTAAATAACATTGACAACAATATAGTCAATATGAATAAGCTTACCTAATCTAACGACCGAGATAAATGTTTATACGCGAAATTGGTCAAAACAGTTTAGAATGATAATGTCAAATCATCGTGTGTAACTAATAAAGTTAAATATTTCGACAAATTTAACAAGCATTTTATGATTTATCTGAAATCACTTTGTTGGTGAACTGTAATATAACAGCGCTAATATTTATTATGTATAACAAAATTGTAGGTTCAACTATTTGCACCCATATTATTATTATGCGTTACTGCCGCCTGGTGAAGACCGACAACTACCGAGTATAACTGACTCTTAAAAACTGCAGACCTGTATTACTTCCGCATTTTCTATCATCTCAGCGTAACGTGTCTGATATAGCTCACAGGACGTTACCAATCCATTGACGGTCATTTCATCATGAACATTGTCCTCAGTTATACTATCGGGATGAAGGTGTTAGGTTTCAAATTTCATAGTCACATTATTGTTTAGGTTAAATATTGGAGGTGTGTCAACAGGTGGTGTATATTAGTAATATAGACCATCTGTAATATTAATATATCAGTGTCCCTGGCCACTAACCACTAACCTTGTGGCAGGTATTTTGGTTGTGGAGCTGTTATTTTGGTTGTGGAGCTGTTATTTGGGTTGTGGAGCTGTTATTTTGGTTGTGGAGCTGTTATTTGGGTTGTGGAGCTGTTATTAGGGTTGTGGAGCTGTTATTTGGGTTGTGGAGCTGTTATTTGGGTTGTGGAGCTGTTATTAGGGTTGTGGAGCTGTTATTTTGGTTGTGGAGCTGTTATTTTGGTTGTGGAGCTGTTATTTTGGTTGTGGAGCTGTTATTTGGGTTGTGGAGCTGTTATTAGGGTTGTGGAGCTGTTATTTGGGTTGTGGAGCTGTTATTTGGGTTGTGGAGCTGTTATTTGGGTTGTGGAGCTGTTATTTGGGTTGTGGAGCTGTTATTAGGGTTGTGGAGCTGTTATTTGGGTTGTGGAGCTGTTATTAGGGTTGTGGAGCTGTTATTTGGGTTGTGGAGCTGTTATTAGGGTTGTGGAGCTGTTATTTGGGTTGTGGAGCTGTTATTTGGGTTGTGGAGCTGTTATTAGGGTTGTGGAGCTGTTATTTGGGTTGTGGAGCTGTTATTAGGGTTGTGGAGCTGTTATTTGGGTTGTGGAGCTGTTATTAGGGTTGTGGAGCTGTTATTAGGGTTGTGGAGCTGTTATTTGGGTTGTGGAGCTGTTATTAGGGTTGTGGAGCTGTTATTTGGGTTGTGGAGCTGTTATTTGGGTTGTGGAGCTGTTATTAGGGTTGTGGAGCTGTTATTTGGGTTGTGGAGCTGTTATTAGGGTTGTGGAGCTGTTATTAGGGTTGTGGAGCTGTTATTTGGGTTGTGGCGCTGTTATTAGGGTTGTGGAGCTGTTATTTGGGTTGTGGAGCTGTTATTTGGGTTGTGGAGCTGTTATTAGGGTTGTGGAGCTGTTATTTGGGTTGTGGAGCTGTTATTAGGGTTGTGGAGCTGTTATTTGGGTTGTGGAGCTGTTATTTGGGTTGTGGAGTTGTTATTTGGGTTGTGGAGCTTCGCACGCCTCTTTCTTAGCTGGTACTCGAGTATAACAAGATGCAATATCCTGCATGTTATTCGTTATATCTATAAATTTGTGCAACAATTAATTGTGCAATTTTCGTCAAAATTGCACAAATTAAGTCAGCAAACAGTAAATGACGCATATGCCATATACTTAATTAATGTGCATACTTATAAAGTTCGCAGACTCAGATTTACGGCCGTAAATTTTGCATCATACAATACGATGTATGTAATTGTGTTTTGTTTCTGTTGATCATTAGTGGTATTTGGGTTGTGGAGCTTGGCACGCCTCTGTCCTTGCTGGTACTCGAGTATAACAAGATGCAATATCACGTATAAGCGCTTTTATAGTATGTTATATGAGCGTTATCTGCTGTAATTGAATGTTCATGCGTTGTAACCATTTTTTGTATAACTTCACCGCCAACAAGAATATCTATTAAGATACAATCTACATAACCTGACCGCACCAAAATTTGGATGAATCAAAAGAAATCTTTTTGCAGATTTGACATAAATTGTTGAGTGAATACTGATTATGGCATACTATACTCAAAACTGCGTATGTTCAGATATGAGCGCAAAACTACTTAAGAAAAGTCTACCATATTTCTAAAGAATTTAACAAACATTTAGCGGTATTTCCAAACGTTCCCTTCTCGTTTAATCTCGGTCTTCCTCTCCAACTGCAAAGAGAAAACATCTTTGTACTGATAAGATCAAAAGCTAAGTTTTGAGAATGTTCGTGGAATTGATAATTTATTCGCAAAAATTGAACGGGAGTTATATTTGAACGGGAGTTATGGAATGACTCTAGTCTTGATTCCTTTAACAACTCTTTCTGTCAAGCTCTCGCAATATTAATCAAACCTAGCCAAGAATTTCCGGAGAATCAAGTTTGCTCATGAAACTAATTATAATGTCGAAAGTATCGGCCAAGATTCCAAGAGTCCAAGTTCACGTAATAGCTTTCTACGTATTATGTAGTTGCAGTTCTTCCTGTGTCTAACCTGTCTTTAATACAGATTGTAATACAAGTGCCGTTCCGTTTCAAGCAGCTTAACAATTTGGTGGCGTTGATGAAAGATGGACAATTGCTGACCTCAACATTATTTCTTGCCCGCACTTTATTTCATTTAATGTATGATCCACTGACTGTTAGCATGCATTTTTTGAGTTCATGAAGTTTCCAGATAAGAACGTAGTTGACGAGTCGCATGTGAAATGTTCAAAATTACTTATCATGACGATTCACGATGTTGCGACAAAGGAAACAAGCTGATTTCCGGAAGGTGTCCTTGATTTCCTTGTCGCAAGTATGTGGTGATGAGAATTTTTGAACATCAATAATTTGTTGAGTTGCCTCTCTTTTCACTATATTTGTTCCAACGCAGGAACAAGGTACAAAATTATTAGGGAAAGCAATCAAAATTTACATTTTTTTGTACTCACGTTGGCCTTAGTTTCAATAGTTTGAAAGAACAAATTTTTGTTTCTGGTGTGCATTGAATTTTAATTTAAAACAATTACTGATTCTTTATTCTGTTGTACTTGTAAGCCCCTTATTTTGTCTTGACTTTAGAAATAGAGGTAAAGGATTTAGTATTATTGATGGATTGACGAACACTATGGAAAGACTTTTAGATGTTACTGAGGTTACTGAAACAATTAATATATGAATTATTACGGAACTTGGATAAGATATTATCCTTTACTAAAGGTGCAAAAAAGAGGTATTCATTTTACGGGCAATTCAACCAAATTATTTGGCTATTTATTCAATTTGGAGACGCCCAATAATCAGCTTTATTTTTATTTCAGCAACTCGATAAGGCGGTCGTAAATCTCTACGACAACCTGACCAAAGCGCAGGGTAGAAAAGGAGAGGCTTTCATCAGAAAAAAGAAAGAAGGACTCGACCTGCTTAAAGAAGCTGAAAAATGTTATCAGGTGATCACAAATCCTGATTTAATTATCATACATTTTTTTGCTCTTCTTCCCTGTCATTTCTTTTTCCAAGTTCATTCCGCCACCATAAATTTTGACTTTCGCTTACCTTCCCATCATTTAATTTCCATAGCTTACTTCAATATAACACTTGTTCGTTCAGTGATTTTGATTGATTGAGGAGCACTACCCAGAGGCATTACTCGGCACTAACGCCTTAAAATCTTTAATTACAATCAAATATAAATATATGCACACAATGTATAAAATATTAATAATGTATAAAATATGATTACGCTATTAGCAGATTTAAATAGTACTATTAAGAATTTCTAAATAACTCTTATCTCTTGACAGTTAATGCACATGCTGCACGACAAAGCAGACTCGCAACGTACCAAGATCTACGCGGGCGCAGCCAGCTCTGATGTTTACAGAGAAACGGCTAAAAACGTCTCCAACATCGTAAGGAATGTTAATATTTATTGAATTATCCTGCATTGCATACTTACATTTTAGTGCGCGGCTATAGTGATCAACAAATCAATTTAGATAATTTGAATGTAATACGTCAGAGCGCGCCAGTCTCGACTTGTTGTTTTGTCATAATGATTTATTTCCTGGCTTATTATAAGCGATGCCCGTTGCTCATTCCACACATTATGACTATTGAGTGTACATTATACCCTCCTTGCAGGTCAACAAAGAGTTGGCACTCCTGTCGAGCATGTATCAGACTACTGTTGAGAAGACTGTTCCCAAGCTCATGCTCAATGAAGACTCTAGGAACAAGAGTCAAAGTAAGTCAGAACTGCTAATATACTGCTAATATATTGCTAATATTCATGTAACTGTTATTCAAAGTTAGAATGAGGCTAACATAATCAGTTACATCCTAAGTTTAAGACTCATATAGTATCAACATATCGGTCAGATGAAATCATGTTTCTTATCTGCTCCTTTATGGACGGCTCTTAATTCTTATTGGATAAATCTGTCTTATATTGCATGCAATTACATGAATTATGGCCGTTCATAATTACGGCCGCATACAGTTTGAGCTGCCCACCGTTCCTTTTTCTGAATAAAAATGTTAAATGTATGTTAAAATGTTAAATGTATGTTAAAATGGTACTATACTCTTACCGTAGGTACTGATACTTTACCTATGTCTGATAACTTTCCATTTATAGCCGGGTAACAAGACCAATAAATAAAGAGCATTTCAATTCTGTTTATAATACAATTTAATTGTCTTTAATTCTGCGGCACTGATCATGTTAATCTTTGAAATGCTTCGTGGGTTTTTGGATTGGACTGTCGATATGAGCTTAAATGAAAACTATCAACCCCATTATATTAAGGACCGACCTAAATGTTGGCCCCTATTAGTTTCGTTAACGTTTGGTACGTCCAAAAGAATGGTCGGCATGGTAGGTACTCACATCTGGTAAGAGGTGACACATTGCCTACCACCTGATACAGACAAAGATACATCTCCTAACGTTTATGACTAGCGACAATATCATAATATATAATATATATATAAATATAGCTTCCTTAGCTATATAGTATATAATTCTGTATAATTTCAGATCAATACGTCTACGTTTGTATTGGTTTGATAATGTTAGAAGTTTCACCCCTGTGTTTCAGAATACTGTGAGGACACGTGCCGAATTAGCGAAGACTCCGTTTACGGGTCTCTCTCAAAGACCTTCCAACACGAGCTCACTCTCATTATCGGGTGAGTTAAACCTCCTATATTATTGCCTCTTTAATTAATCCTCCTTTATTATTGCCTCTTTAATTAATCCTCCTTTATTATTGCCTCTTTAATTAATCCTCCTTTATTATTGCCTCTTTAATTAATCCTCCTTTATTATTGCCTCTTTAATTAATCCTCCTTATTATTGCCTCTTTAATTAATCCTCCTTTATTATTGCCTCTTTAATTATTACTAATATATAATTGCCTCTTTAATTAATACTAATATATAATTGAGTCCTCTGTTTTGAGAGATTTATAAGAAATGCTGATATCGGTAGATTGCTTTAAAACCTCCTTTTATTCGAAATTTAGTCCTAATAATTTACGCGACCCCTTTATCTTAATTTCCCCATGTCTATCCTCATTATACCACATCACCGTATAAATGAAAATGTCCGACATGATCGTTGTTAACGCAGGCAAAGTCACTATAAAGTTCGATTAATTGACATGCTGATACCGGCAGTTGTCTTGCCAATTTATACCAATTAAGGCGGTTGCTGTGGATTATGTCCACCTTGCTTTTATACTGCCCTTTTATCGCGGAACTCTCCATTACGCACTCCAATAATGCAGCTCAATTCGATACCTTATACGGTCAAAAATCCGCTGCTCATTTAAAAGTTCTTTCTGAACGCGCATTCTATTTTTTGAATTTTTGCTGTAAAAGGTATTATCAAGAGAACGTGGATCACGTGATATTGTGAGCTGGACCAATGAGAGGCGAGTGTTGATATCACGAGCTGTGTCCGGCACATGTGAGGGCGTGTCCTTGTCCTCCCCATTCATGTGTACCACCCCCGCATTTCTGCTTCTTTCCTTGGGTTGTGTGGGCGTTATAGTTTTGTTTGAACCATAATAAGGTTATAGGTAATTGGTATTAGATACCTACTAGGTGGTAGTGTATCATGCTCAAGGTACTACAACATTTGCTTTATAAAGAATTGAGATGTGCAGCTGCTGGAGTATGTAAAGCTGTATTGTTTGGCGAGAGAATGGAATTATTACTGCATATCAATCGTATGTTTCCTCCGCCACACAATAAAAACACGGTATTCAAGATCGCAAAAATAATCCAATAAACAATGACAGATCGACCAATAATACATATTCTGTCTAACGAAATGCAAACCATTTATTTAATTTAATGTACGCAAGTTGTCATTTCGGAAAAGCTCACACTTGAATACTTCCCCAACTTGTCAGAACACTTAACGCATGCTTGCAGCTGACAGTCACATCTCGGATACCAATATAGTTCTTACGGTCTTGGCACAGTATCAACCACCATCAATTAACTCATGTTTCTTCCTATTGTGCGCTGTTCGGTTGTGATCAGAATGCTCAACATCATATTATCATTGTATAACACTGCTGGGTAGACTTGGTGTCCCGGTATCAGTTCTCAGTACGGATCAGCACATTCTCCAGCCCGGGATCTCTTCGCTCCTCTCTTCTTTATATCCCCTCCGTGCACCACAAACCGTTTCTCCAGCTGATCTACCCGTTCTTTAACTTGCGGAGTCTTACCGTACTGACTGCGATCTATCCCTAGCACCTGGAGATGACAATAGGTCATTATAGGATCAGTCGTTGGGAAACATTCAATAATATGCGTGTAATTAATTTGGACCTGCGGTTTTTATCTATCATTGCCTTAATTGGTAATAAAAGTAGGGTAGATTTATGTCAGAACTGCTGATTTCGGACCACCGACGGAGATATTGTGCCTGGGGTTTGAGCAGGTGTGGCAACCGACACAAAGAACACTATTTTCACAACTTTGTCTGGTCAGTTTGATATGATGTTAGAGTTGAAACGTTAGGCACTGGTATTATAATTCAGCCGGCTATACATGAGCGGTCCATATTCTCACCTTGTATAAGTGCTGAAGGTAGGAGATGGTGCACTGCAACACTTCCAACTTGCTGAAATTCTTGTCCTCGTCGTCCAGACCCGGAACCTTCTCTTTCAGCGTCCTGAATGCCTCGTTCATGTTCTGGACTCTGCTCCTGCAAATAAAAACAGTTTTCTTTCAATCCATTGTGTACAGTGTAATAACATGGCATATTTCATGGACCGACCACAATACGAATGATATAACTGAAGCCAGGGACAAAAGGATTTCGCGATTATTTCGGCCAAAAATCGCGATACCGCAATTTTTAACAGACTATACATTTAAACTATTCATAAAATTTGTCGCAAATAATGGGAAAAATCGCGATTCCGTACATGCCGCGATTTCCTTTTGTCCCTGATTGAAGCTAATAAGCTCTGATGGGGGTATGTTACCTCTGCCTAGCGTTAACAACTAGTCTCTTGTCTGGGAAGTGGTTCTGGTTCCAGGGGAGGAGGGGAGGGTTGAAGGAACCGGGCGGGTAACTGAGGGGTGGCGGCATGTTCTCCACGTTACCAGGACTAAACGAGAAATGCTGCAAACCTGTAAAATATAAAAGATAATATATCTGATAATATCTACCATGTTTCAGTTTCAGTCGAATTATGCTGTGAACCATAAGTGTATTTGAGGTGGCATTTAATTGATAGTATCATGGTGTGAAAACTTAAAACTGTTTGAGAAATAGTGACTCACCAGAGCCTGTAGGGGTTGGGCTGTTGAATCCTGGAGTTGGAACCTCGCACAAAGAATTGTTTAGGACAGCTGGAGCGGAGAGGGGGATTCTCATCATCAGTGAGTTAGTGTCCATGTTACCAGGAAGGGTTGCAGAGTTAATTGGGAGGTTTCCCAGGTTGCCAGGAAGGTTAGACGGTATATTTGGAATGTTACCAAGGTTACTAGGATGGTTAGATGGTATATTTGGAATGTTACCAAGGTTACCAGGATGGTTAGACGGTATATTTGGAATGTTACCAAGGTTACTAGGATGGTTACTTAGGATACCAGAGGTTCCTGGGTGGTTACGAAGGTTGCCAGGGTGGTGAGGACGAGATATTACTCCCCTGTTGGAGAAAAGAGGTGTGTTCTCGGAATTTGGTGATAGAGAAGACTGCATTATTTCTGAACAGGGAATCTGTCGGATATTTCTAATCGGTGGAATATTTATTCTTCTGGAGGAAAATTATCTTCAGGAAATGTGGCGTCTGTTGGTGATTCGGAAAATCAAGATGACAGAACAATTGAGGTAAACTGCGGGGATGTTTGGTAAATCAAAACACAATTACTGAAACCTTATTTCTCTCACGTTTATACTGACCGTCAAGTATCGGCGGCAAGCAACCTTGCGCACACGTGTCATGCTGGAACCATCACCAATTTTCATGCAATGTCCTCAATCCAGGCAGTGTAATTACACATGTAAGTCAATCAAGTTCTGTTAATTACAGATGCTCAGCTGATCTGACCGTTACCAAGAGTGCTGTTAAACTGTTGTACCACGTGACCCTGCATCAGTACCACGTGACCCTGCATCTAGAAGACAAGTGTTATCTGAGCTACCTGGATCTCTCTGTGATCATCTCTTATAACCATGATACGAGAGTGCAAACAAACTGCCCTGTCCGACTGCTCCAGGTTGTGATCCAGCTGCAAAGTTGAGAGCTGATCCGGACATTGTTTGATTGCACCGAGGAGAGGTATCTGTTGACAGGGTGCGTGTAAATTGTTCGTTCCAAACGGACACACGACACACGTTCCTAGTGCTGTTTTGTCAGGGCGTATAGAATAATATGCGCTCTCCCTGTATCACCACGAGCTGTTAGTTGTTGAAGTGAGTTGTGTTTGGTGCTCTGTTCGGGCTGGGGTTCGGTTGAGTGGGACACGTAAGTAATAAGTATGGTCAATGCTGGCAGACCGCACTTTTATGGTCCGACCTCCGAGGTTTATCTTTGAGTTGTCCAGCATATTTTACGACATTAGTTCGCAGTCTTGTTTGCACACAATATACCCTCTCACTTTACATAAATCTGTGTTTTATCCCCGAAAGAGAATTTGACGATATTGACTGTGCAATATTGTAACATTTCAATTATCATTAATGTAAAGAATATTCTACTACATCTAGGCGGGATCATGTTTAGGAAGTGGTTCATAAATAAAGGAAATGAGTAGGTGCGAGGGGCTGCACCACTAGAACATAGAGCAGTATTTATGACGAACACTACATCGTGTTTATTTACTCCCATCACATCGTCTTTTACTTTTATATTTATATACAAGTTTATGGCCCGTTTATAAACGATGTTGCTTAATGCTTAGGTTTGCTTTTTTTTCCATTACCTTTTAAGGACTTAGTTTGGCTAAGGTTGTTATCGTCTTTTATCGCTATTTAAAAATTGACAGATAAGAGCGGGACTATCCTAGAAGATCGTCATTACCTCAACTACCGGGTGATGGATTGGTGATTATCAAGGAGTGGCATTTTCCTGGGACCTTTTTTCACTGAGAAAACTATTATACCAACGGGAGTCTTCGGTTTGGGTGTTGATCTTGAAGATGAGAGATGCTTTCATTTAACTGACCAATTGCGGCAGCTTTTTGACGTGCAGATTTTATCAAACCATGTTATTGGGTGTTATATCATATTATCCAAGTAATTTTCAGTGTTCTCTATGGACAAAATTGTTAGCATCAAGTTGCAAAGACCAGGCTTTTTTCCCAAATTTTGACCATTTAAAACATTACTAATTGTAATAGTCTAAATCGGTACGGTACTTAGTCAAAAACTTAAAAAAAATATTGTATTTATGTAGTTACTATTCTTGCTGCATCTAATGGCTTGGAATCTGATCTCCAAATATTTCCCCCTAATGCATTTCACATGCATACCAATCTTAATAGTATTTTATATGGTAATGTGTTTGCCGATAGATTTTAATCAATACCTTTCTCTGCAGAAAATGTATGCTTCAAGCTGAGACCAAGATCACGACGCTCATTGTTGATTCCATGGTGACGAGGCTCAATGAACTTGCGAAGCATGTAAGTATACATATCATTTTCATTTTCTTGATATCTCATTAGCGCACGTCGAGAGTGTTGACTCTTTTTCAGCTGATTATGTCGATAGTATTATATTGGTTGATGCCGCGACGTTTTATCGTGGCGATGTTATGTTGTATACTTTGCTGGATCGTTAGATATTGACCATATTGTATGGTGTTTTTGTGTATTTTTTTCATTACCTAGTAGCTTATTTCAACTTGATTTTTGTTTTCTGAATTCTTTGAGATTATGAACTTATTTTGGTCTTATGGAATATAGATGTAATGAGATAGCGAAGGATAATTTTATGATTGCCATGGTTATCACTTTAAACATCATGTAATAACATGCACGACACAGTTCCATTGTGTATTATTAGTTGTTAGTTACATTAGTTGTTGAGTTATATAAATTATTAGTATATTATCAGTTAATTAGTTGCAGGAGAGCCAAAGCGAACGGGGTGTAACTTCCCTGTTTCATTTCATTTCATTACTGCCAACAAATTCACTACCGATATTCGATACGACGTAAAACGATTATTACATGCTTTTATTTGGCTGATGAACTTATTTTGATGAACTTTAGCTTAGAAGTCACTTCATGTAGATCTCACAACTGGACATTTCCAGCTAATATTGAAATGCTGCATCGTGTAGTGTAACTGTAAACCAAGTCTACTAGGGATTCCCATCTTTACGTGGGATATTTATTGGGATATAGTCTTGCCTTGTTAAATTATCGTTGAAGCACGACAGTACGATTGGGAACTTTAATTTTTTCGGTTCTTAAGTCGAAAATAAACACAGGGCTTCTTTCAAGAATTGATATATTATAATTTACCGCAACTATCGAAATGGGAAGGAACTGGTGCAAGCAGGGTTCAAACCATACGTAACCTTTATAAATGATACACCACTGATCTGTCATCACCGGAACATGGTGGTTTGTGGGAAAGTGTAGCATTATTATTATTATTATTTGGTAAACATAATATTATCATATCAGTTATACTAACCTGGCACCATAGCGGTATATAATGGTGTAGTGTTGCCGGGGAAACCATAAACGGAGAGGAAATCCCCCACTCGAATAATATACTCGTCTCTTATTCCTCTCCTCTATACAAAGTGAGGAGGTCTATTGTTGCTCTCTCTGGTGTGTTATTGATTATTATCAAACCACCACCGCACGAAGTGGCAATGCTTTTGTTTTAACGCTTCTCAGTGCAACATTTTGATAGATTTACGTGTTTTTAGAGAGCTAGCAGCGTTGTGCTAGCTTGCATTCTTTTCATCGACGTAATTTTGCGCGTTCTGTGCTTACTCAACGCTCGTTTTATCCGCTGCTCTTTCCTCAATTAACTCAAGTTTACATCATGCTCTCAATTCTCTCATTTTCCGCTGGTACACTATAGTTCCGTGTCTTTGTTAATTGTTATCAAGTTATGATGAGTATAGTGTGTACACACATTATATGGTGTACGGTAACCAGATGGTTGATCATAGCTCCATGACTTTATCTCTACAGCTACTCCTTTATAATATACTTTATCTCTACAGCTACTACACAGTCTGTTATACTGTTATAGTAAAATTTAGTCTTACTATGATGCCGTGGTTAACTATACCGTGCAATTTTGCCCAAAAAGTTTGGTCAGTTTACCGATACGATTTGCTTTTAAATGGTTAGTATCATGTTTTATTTGTGCCATACGTTTTTACTTATAATGTGATATTTCTGGCCAATGACTTGGAGATATGGGCGAGGAATTCAACTTCATACCTTATGTGCGATAAATAACGGGAAGCTATTTTTGATGACCTATTGAACTGCCCTAAGTCCATGCTCTTCTAGTAACCAATAAGCATTGGGAGACAACCAACTTTATATTTTACCAGAGCGATTAAACTTATATCATATTCGAAACACCTGGCAAAGACAGTATAATTGCATAATACAGGTGACATTTAACACCATTAAACATCTCCTTTGCTAAAAACAAATGTTTAGCTCATGACTCATAGTAAGATGTCATGAAATTCACGAAGATTTAACTCGTCAGTTGAGCTGGTTAGCATGACCCTCAAACTTCTTCTTTGTTAATAAACCAACGTATTACACCTGACTAATTCTATGATTCTACAGGACTTCTTAATATCCACGTAGTAGACTTGGTCGGGCGGCATTTTGTAACATTGTATGATAAGTGATATAATCTTATTATCGATCAGTTCATGGATCCTGTCAATCAGAAAATCAGATAAGTTGACAATGTTGTCACGTGCCAGAAAACCCCTTTACTTCCACGACCATGTTGGAGATTAAGGATGTATTATAGTGTAGTCAGATAAAGTTTACATCTGAGATAACACCTTCCTCTTTTTTTAAATCTTGTCTCTTGATATTAATGAGACGTTGAACCATAACTACTCACACTCTTAATTGTAATATTGACCCACTTTATGGCTTAGTATCCTCAGTTCTTAACTCAATCCTTTTATTTTGAACTATCAACACAACATGGATATGAAACTTCGAATTGAGAAAGTAAAACCATCTCCCATACATTTGTATTTCGCTTAATGATTTTTAGTGAGGGGTGGTGCCATTCTGTCGTAATAAGTATCAGTGACTATGCAATGAGATCGTCTCATCATGAGATTCTGAAGTTGAATTCCAATGAATTTTTCCCACCATTCCACACCAAGTATGGTAATGTATTTGGGTATTTGGTATGCATCAGCATTGTTTTCAAGAGTGCGCTAATGCCAGTCTTTCTTTAATTCGTCGTACTTGACTTGTACAAATTGTTGTATTGTCTGTGTTTTGGCGATTTTTCAATTGTTTATACCGAGTTTATACCGAAGTGGAAATATGACCGCTGTAGCAGACCTTAATTTGTACAGTATAACCATCTATTACCAATTGTTGTTATATTTTGTAGTGTTTATGTCAATAAGACAATTGATAGCACGGTTCGAATCTCAAGAGAACGAAACTGTCAAACCGAAGGTGGGTTGCTTAATGCTTAACCAGTATAATAGTCTTACACGTGTGCGCGCAAAGCTATACTGGTTTAGCAAAAAGGTGGGTTTGTTCTTGAATTTTTGATGTATGCAGCGTCTCGGGGTACGTATTATGATATCCTAGAAAGAACTTCGGTAAATGTAAGGTAATGTAGAATGTAAAATCCGGATTGGAATGTAGAATGATCATTAAAAATTTGGTTAGATGTCCATGAGGACAGTGCCTAAACCATGTGTGTAGTCGTGAGACTAAGTCTCGTCCTTGTCGAGGGAGCTGCTAACTGGCTCTCCTTTCATACTTCACATTAGTATATTAGGTAAAAGTCATATTTATATAGTCGAAGTGAGGAAAATATTTCCTTGTGTTTGACATCGGTTAAAAGGTTCAGTGGCAGAGGAATATTTTAATACAGTTTTACAAGAATTATAAAAGAATTTAATGATTAGTGATTCTATTTTACGATGTAACCTAAAACAGGTGCATCATTTATTCATAAATCATGGTTTTGATTACAAATCACAGCTGATATTAAAAAATGGTAAGCACTCATACACACTAAAATATGATATTCCGGTTATACAGTAGTCCATGCATTTCCTCCACTACAAGTTATTTTTCGATATACCGCCAAAATATTTTCTGTTCCTTTTTTTTGTACTCAGTGTAGGATTTCACGAACATTTCATTACTCGTTCAATCAAGCTCAAATTACCAGTAGTCAGCGCAGATTGACCCCATGTTCTAGCTATTGTTAAACCGCACAGTCACTCTTCTGGCTCACCATTGTTTTGCTCGGCGATGTACAAGCTTTTAAAGCAGTCTGCATGATAGATTGGCGTATAATTCGTTATGTTTTGTTTGAATTGCAAGAGATGGCTCGGATCTGCTGTGGGGTGGTTTGGTTTCCGGTTTGCTTCCGAAAGAGATCCCAGCAATGTGTACTCGGTGTTTAATGATTCGGTAACTTCACTCTCAGAAGAAAGCAATCAAACTGCAGATGTCTTTAGCCCGTATCCTTCGCCACTACCCGCTCGATCACCACTCGCCGCTACCACTCAGCCCAACACATCGTCTCCAACTTTCACCTCGCTTGCGCCCGAGAAATCCTCCACACCTCCCACATCCACTCCAACTGTCACCTCCACTCCACCTAACAGCCCAACCCCACCTCCCACATCCTCTCCAACTGTCACCTCCACTCCACCTAACAGCCCAACCCCACCTCCCACATCCTCTCCAACTGTCACCTCCACTCCACCTAACAGCCCAACCCCACCTCCCACATCCACTCCAACTGTCACCTCCACTCCACCTAACAGCCCAACCCCACCTCCCACATCCACTCCAACTGTCACCTCCACTCCACCTAACAGCCCAACCACACCTCTCACATCCACTCCCACTATCACCTCCACTCCACCTAACAGCCCAACCACACCTCCCACATCCTCTCCAACTGTCACCTCCACTCCACCTAACAGCCCAACCACACCTCTCACATCCACTCCCACTATCACCTCCACTCCACCTAACAGCCCAACCCACCTCCCACATCCTCTCCAACTGTCACCTCCACTCCACCTAACAGCCCAACCCCACCTCCCACATCCTCTCCAAACTGTCACCTCCACTCCACCTAACAGCCCAACCCCACCTCCCACATCCTCTCCAACTGTCACCTCCACTCCACCTAACAGCCCAACCACACCTCTCACATCCACTCCCACTATCACCTCCACTCCACCTAACAGCCCAACCACACCTCCCACATCCTCTCCAACTGTCACCTCCACTCCACCTAACAGCCCAACCACAACCTCTCACATCCACTCCACTATCACCTCCACTCCACCTAACAGCCCAACCACACCTCTCACATCCACTCCCACTATCACCTCCACTCCACCTAACAGCCCAACCCCACCTCTCACATCCACTCCCACTATCACCTCCACTCCACCTAACAGCCCAACCCCACCTCCCACATCCTCTCCAACTGTCACCTCCACTCCACCTAACAGCCCAACCCCACCTCCCACATCCTCTCCAACTATCACCTCCACTCCACCTAACAGCCCAACCCCACCTCTCACATCCTCTCCAACTATCACCTCCACTCCACCTAACAGCCCAACCCCACCTCTCACATCCTCTCCAACTACCACCTCCACTCCACCTAACAGCCCAACCCCACCTCTCACATCCTCTCCAACTATCACCTCCACTCCACCTAACAGCCCAACCCCACCTCTCACATCCTCTCCAACTGTCACCTCCACTCCACCTAACAGCCCAACCCCACCTCTCACATCCTCTCCAACTATCACCTCCACTCCACCTAACAGCCCAACCACACCTCCCACATCGACTCCACCTAACTCTCCGTCTCTGGCTATCCGCCAATTGTTCAAGGTTAGTTTTTAATATGTATCTGCCTTGATCGTCCCTGCCCTGTTACTTCTCACCCTTTTACTCCTTGCTCTATTAACCCCTGCCCTGTTACCCCCTGCCCTATTACCCCCTGCCCTGTTACCCCTCCCTGCCACTCCTTGCCCTGCCACTCCTTGCCCTGTTACTCCTTGTCCTGTTACTCCTTTCCCTGTTACCCCTACCCTGTTACCCCCTGCCCTGTTACTCCTTGCCCTGTTACCCCCTACCCTGCCACTCCTTGCCCTGTTACCCCTGCTCTATTACCCCCTGCCCTGTTACTCCTTGCCCTGTTACCCCCTGCCCTGTTACTCCTTGTCCTGTTTCTCCTTTCCCTGTTATCCCCAGGCAAGCCCTGTTACTCCTTGCCCTGTTACCCCCTGTTACTCCTTTCCCTGTTACCCCTACCCTGTCACTCCGTGCCCTGTTACTCCTTGCCCTGTTACCCCCTACCCTGCCACTCCTTGCCCTCTTACCCTCTGCCCTGTTACTCCTTGTCCTGTTACTCCTTTCCCTTTTACCCCCTACCCTGTTACCCCCTACCCTGCCACTCCTTTCCCTGTTACTCCCTACCCTGTTACCCCCTACCCTGTTACCCCCTGCCCTGTTACTCCTTTCCCTGTTACCCCCTACCCTGCCACTCCTTGCCCTGTTACTCCTTTGCCTGTTACTCCCTACCCTGTTACCCCCTACCCTGTTACCCCTTACCCTGCCACTCCTTGCCCTGTTACCCCCTACCCTGTTACCCCCTACCCTGCCACTCCTTGCCCTGTTACCTCCTGCCCGGCGGAGACAAAACGTTAGTTAGCTATTTCCCCTCTCCACACAAATTTAAGCTGACAACACCAGTGAATATGAAAGAATTGTTACTGTACAGGAAGAGAAGATAATTAGGTCGTTTTCTCTTGTTTAGACCGGCTTTTTTATTCAACATGTTGTGTGCGCCGGTAAGTCAGAATAAATACAATATTTATTATTTTTTAGGTTAAAGTAAGATAATCCTATCTTCTATCAAAGTTTAAGACTCGACATTCCTGATTATTTCCGTGATTATTTATCAACCGGAAGTGTTTGTAATTTCGCCTGATGTGAAGGAAATCTATGCACGTATTGTATGTTTCTCTCTCAGAAGGTTATACGAAACAACATAATACAACATCGTAGGGCGTGTCAAAATCAATTAGCCAAAACAGGTCCAGTGATTACATCGCTTTGTTCAAGTGTCAGCTATTTGACCATAAGTATGCTCCAGTACATTGCGGGTAGGTGCGAATTCTCCACTAATGCTCGAGAGAGAGCTGATCCACTTCTCGCCGCCTTGACTCTCTTGTTTTGTTTCGCTTCTAGTATTTGTTATCAACACAATCAGTACGTGCAGACTGCTAGCTGGCATCGTGTTCTAGTACCCGGCAATTTACAACATATCACAATATACCGCCCAATCACACAGATTAATGCTGACCGTCTAGTTTTCTCTCAAAACTCCTCCTCCGCTCTGCTTGTATCTACTCACGCTCCCAGCTATTCTTACACCTTTAGTAGTACAGCTGGGCACGTGAGGTTTATACTATATAGGTTCACGGGTACATGGTAGTAGTACATTGTGCACCTAGTTAACAGCTTTATAATTAGACTCCCTGGGAGATTGTATTGGATAGCTCCTTTGGGCTGTTTGCTGCTGCGGTGATGTTGAATCCGGACTGGTCTGTGTGGGACTATGGTTATGAGTTGTGTGTTGTCGTGACTACTTTCGTTTTCATTTACAAGTACTATAAGAATAGAAAGAAGGTAATTTGAAACAAGAGGGCTTTTAGCTTTGCTAAGGTCGAATTATATCATTTTATGCTTTTATACAATGTTGTTTTCGATCAGTTCGAATTGCGGCTTCATTGTTCAATGCTGATTGCTGGTTGAAATTACGTTTAGAGTATCCTTAAATTTATCTTAGAAATACAGTCTAAATTGTTCAGCCACCTGTATTTCACCATGTATATTTATTTTGTTATCGTGGAACAAATTCTAAATGGCGCGCCACCGGGCACGCTAATTAACTTCCCGTTCCGTGCAATTAGTATATTTTCATTTATGATAACTGATAAGAGGTTAAAGTTAAACGGCTTTTCATATAATTAAATGGGCTCTTGCCGATATAATATTCTAACGGGCTATTAAAATTTCAGGTTGAAGAACTAAACTCTAAAAAAGGCTCGACCTCCACAGAACCTAAAGACGCTGATAAAGATGAGGTAAGTGGTAAAAGTCTGTTAGTTTGTTTGAAAGTATGATTAATTGTTAAATTACCCGCTGGATAATTTCTGTTGGGTCCGTTGTTTTTTCCCTATATGTAATGGAATTCCTATACACTCTCAAATATGTAAGCATCAAATACGTGAGACTTCAAGTTAAATAGAATTATAATAAAAGGTCCAATATAAGCTTTGACGTAGCTGTGACGTAGAGTTAACGTCACAAAAATCGAAAATACTGGAAATAAGAAAAAGAAAAAGATCAAGAATATAAAACTTGAAACTTAATGTAAAATATAATCACATAATGTTATACAATCATGATTAGCCTTATTATATTTTAAATTACCGCAAAATAAAGCCTGTATACTTGAACGCGTGCATGCTGACGTACATGTCGATCAGTGCAACTCTAAGTCTAAGACATCGCTGGTAATTTAAAAGCCAATTGATTTATCGTCCCGTTTCGTGCGTTTCAGAACCATTTTTGGAATTTTTGATAATCTGTAGGGAACGGTGCTGGTGCATTATTAAAGTGATCGACGTTGGTGGCATTAGGAAGTTGAAGAACATCACTATATAAGGTAGCAGATCTCACAACACCACTCCGCCTTCATCCCGTAAAACAGCTTCACGTCACGATCTGACCTCTGATTGGATACCCTCTCTCATCCCACCACCTGATTGGTTGTTCTGTGATCTGATTGGGCCAGGCTTAACAGGGGTAAATGGTGGAATCACGTGACTACAGTTTAAACAGTAGTAATTCCAGGGCCGCGTATACGAGATATATAAGGAGTGATTATGATGGTGGAGCTGGTACACTGTAGTATTCTATCTAGCACCTTCCTCTTAATTATACACTGCATGTCCCCTTCCTACACCCATAATCCACTTTCGTCGGTCATTCTCTGACTGCGGTGACCGTGTAATAATACTGTAATTGCTACCGGTATTCGCTGTGTATTGGTTGCGATCTTGTTAACGGTATTCAGGGTATTGGTAGCGTTTCTCAGTTTTGTCCTCAGTCATATTTTTACTGGCAACATTCCAACTGATCGCTTGTCTCTCTCAAGCAATGCTATCTCGAGAGAGAGGAAGTTTGTGTATTATACACAACATGTTATACTGTGGTCTGTGTACACTGTTTATTGTATAAGAAATTTGACAAGCAAGGGTCCTAGTGTGTTCTCTTGTGGAGTCTATGAGACTTTGACTGCCGTTTCTCGAATTGTTTATTTCACCTACACCATGCATGCCGGCTCTCTGAAATATCACTCTATTGTTTGTTTGTACCGTATAATAATCAAATGGAGCATGTAATATGTGTAATATCACTGAAATGGAGCATGTAATATGTGTAATATCACTGAAATGGAGCATGTAATATGTGTAATATCACTGAGATGTGAATTACGCAATTCTCTGATAAAACAGTCAACCTGTTTAAAAGGTCTTCCTATCTACCAGGTCAAAGGTGTATGGCCATTGTCCTTGTAGCTACAGTTTCACTTCCTATTTCAAGGTCCAAATTGTACACACAATCCTTACATTCTACAGTCTACACCCAATGTTTCCTAGAGTCGCCAGTTTGACATAATAAATCCTTTCTTTTGTCAAGAGGTCCACTCTTACATTTTGTATCGCTGCTAACTTTGTATTTGTTGCCATGCACGTCCTGAGTATTGCATGCCGTGGCGAAGGGACCTCATCTGAATAATTGGGTCATTTCTCTGCTTTGTGCTGGCAGATTAGCCCAATAGCTTATTGCATTATGCATTTTAAAATTAAAAGTAAGTCAAAGCTTGCATCACTTTAACGCGCATTGTACACTAATATCAAGAATCATCCGAGAACTCTTAACGTTTTGTTGGTACCTTATCAATCAATGATTGTACTCCACAACTATCTACACATTCTCCGCTGCTGGAGTACATTCCAATGATGAACACCTTAACAAAAGACACACGTTCTAATGTGATGACGTCACCAGATGACGTCACCAGAGCCCCACATGACGTCACCACTTCGTAAGAGAGAGTGGAGCTGGTGTTGCCCCGCTCTCTCTCCCTCTCTCCCTCTCTCTCCAGCAGGCTCTCTAAGTGCATAATTGTTTCCTTGTGTAAGAGGTCGCTTTGTGTGTCCTCTCCTCTCGTGTCCATTTGCTTTTTACGCTCTCAAATCTGCCTCTTGTCTGATAAAATGTTGTCTGATAATATGTCACTACTGGATTACTCTCTCGTATCGTCGAGTCACCCTATCTGTGTATTATTTCCCTTTTGATTTCGTGCTCCCGGATTAATTTTGCAGGTTATATCGATTTTATTTGCATCGTGTGTCTGCAGTCGTATGATTTCACTTCTAAACCGTTGGCTCCGGCCTTTCGTTGGTTTTTGTTTACTTGACCTCGCCCTCATAATTTAAAAAACCCAGTGCTGTGATAAACAGTACATTTATCAGTTTATCAGCTGATTTGAGATCGTAACGGTCATGTGTATGTACTTTGTGCTATACAAGTACACTCTCTCGTCCATTTCCGCTACGAACTCCATATAACCTCATCTCAAGGCTTTGTGTGTCTGCAGCTACCTTTATTACTAGCTAAATTTAGGTCTTCTTGGTCCTGTGTCTTGTTTGTTGTGTGTGTCTCTTCTCCGACTATATTGTAACTGGTGTTACATTTATAGCATGCTTCTTAAATAATTGACTTATTTCAAGCAAAATGCTTGAGTATGTTATTAGTTGTAAGCCAACAAGTTTAACAAGAATATCATTGATTATAGGTTTGGAGACGCCATCCTATTGTAATATGAGAAGAAATTTACTTTAATCTTCAATTCAATGTTGTGTTCTTTGTTCGCCGAGTGTTCCTTTACAGTTTATATTTGACAACGAGCTATGTACATATTTCTTATGTGTCGATTAACTTTTTCGTTTTTAAGTTAGTTCACGTATTTTAACACGTCCTAATTTGGAGAAAATAAGACGGAAATTCTAAAACGTGATCAGAGTTGACATCTCCTCATAAGTTTAACAGGCACACTTCAATTTCTCCATTTGTAGCAACAAGATGTTGTTTTCAGTTTTCAGTTACACACTTTACTATTACACGTTAGAGATCGTTGCACTCTGCTCTCTCGCACACACAGTTTTAACTCTAGCTCTCTCTCCATTCTCTACTCTCCAGTCTAGGCTCCAACCCTGTGGCAAAGAGCGGTAGAGTTCACTATTCACTGTGAGGAGTTGTTAACTACTACGTGGTTACCTTGGGAGACACGATCATTGCTCCTAGGCAGAATGTGGAATGTAGATGAGATACTGGCGTCAGCTCGTGATTAGCTCCTTTGTTCAGTAGCTGCACCCTACCCTAAGTGAGTGCAGCACTTAGTGTGCAGCTTAGTGTCGTAATACTGATCCACAGTGCTCTGTCGTATCTCCAGCACTGAGCACTCTATCTTAGTGTCGTAATACTGCTCCACGGTACTCTGTCGTATCTCCAGCTTTAGTCACGCCCCTTTGTTATGCTGCACTAACCTTCATCTATACCTCTACACGTCAGATATCTAGTGTCACGCCCCTTCTAACGGTTGATTTGTATTTGGGCCGTAAACTTGGTTTACATTGACGTGAATCATAACTTCTACCGACCTGAAGTTGCTCGAATGAGCGTGGTCACATGGCTATATATGGTATAATTGTGGCTGACTATGTGACCTTATTTGGGATGATTGAGATGAACCTATTACAATAACCATCCCTCCCGCTCTCACTTACCCTTAGATGACAGCTTCTCTCGCGTGTTCGCATAAATCGCACCGTGCTCTGCCTTTCCTCGACTTCCTGCTTCTACTGCACCACAGTTGACTCAGCTGCTTCCTGTTCCAATTTATATTTGTTTCTCAGTATTTCATTCATATCTTGCAATTTTTCCACAATAATTCCACTGAAAGTAGAAAATATCTGTTGAATATCTGTTAAATATCTGTTGAATATCTGAAAGTAGAAAACACCAGTTGTGTATGTAAGAATCCCGCGTCTCAAGGTCTGGGTTTACGGAAATGAGCTAGATGGGTGCGTGCTTAGCCTGCTTGCGGGGGGCTAAGGATAAAAATGAGGGAGACAAGTCTACTTCCAAATACACCCCACTAAAGGTGATTACAGAACAGGCTGTATAGTATGCATTTATGCAGATGCATAATTAAACGTTTCCCCCCAAAATTCACTTATCTTTATAGTTGATATTCTTTTAGTGCCCACTACAGTAATCTCTATTTTGACGAGTTTTACCATATCATCGTTCATTTCATTTGTTGTGTTCGCCAAGTGATCGTTCTACTTTACTAACAGCTCTATTTTCAGGAGAATGAGCAGGAGGAGGAGATTGATGAGAGCATCAAACAACGTCGCTTCACTTACACCGAGAAACGAAAGGAAATAGGTTAACCAAAATCTTTGAATTCTTTGTTAATCAATCTATTGTACTCATAGAGTCATTGATCGAATTATGAACAATATGAATAATTCTGTAGTAGCTCAGTTTATTTCTTTTCTGTTCAGACCGCACTTCTTTCAGTTATATCCACGTTTGTGAGCGTGTAATAATTATTTACTCCCGTTTCAGTGAGGAATGATCCGCCCACGCCCAGATCAGCATCGGTCTCCTCGATCAACAAACCTAAACCCTCAGTTCCCGCCAAGCCCAGCAAACGGAAGTCGGTTGCTGACTCTATTGTCAGCTCTGACAAGGAAGCCCTTGTTCCGTCCAGAGCTTCTTCTGAGGCTGACTCTGAGAGTGAGTAGTGGTGTTTATGTCGCTGTTGATTGGTACACGATGCACGTTTGTTTTTCTACATGTACAAACACACCTGTATACATTATACAATGTACAATGTATAGAAGTTTAATGTACTCTAGAATACTGCCGAGCAAGTCCTTTAGTTCAGCAGTATAACATTGTTCCTGTCATGAATATTAAGATTTCTATAATTGGTGTTAGTGCCATATTTCGTTACTGTAAGCAGACTGACTACCATAACTTTCATCTCACATTTAAGTGAAGCCAAATAATTCTAGTAAGAATTACATAAGATTTATACATTCAATATGTACATTAAGTACTTATTACACCAGTTCGATGAGATTTCCTATATATTAGAAGTCTCCCTCACCGTTTAGTGCACTATAATATGTACTCCTACTCGACTGTCTGGATATTTACAGTACATAGCATTCTTTAGTGCATAGTTAGAATCGTATGATTACTCGTTGCGCTGGAACAATGTAGTCACATGTGTTTTAGTAGTAAAATTACGTTTTTTGGCCGGAAAATGAAGAAAGATACAGAGTTGGAGCTGGAGAGTGACCGTAGTGTGGTTTTAGTAAACTCAGCTCTTCCAGTTGGAGAACGTAATGATTTTATTTTCTATTTTTGTATTATCTTATGAGTTTTAGTAATGGCCCAGTAATGCAGTTGCTGATGATTTCTTGTTTGTTGCTCTCTCATTTAATTAATTCTATCACTCAGGTATCAAGAGTGGTGTGAGTCTGAGTATCGAGGTTGAGATTACCCCTATACCTGAAGAGAAACCAGATGTTAAGGAAAAACCTGTTGCCAAAGAAAGACCCGTAGTTGTAGAAAAGCCTGCAGTTGTAGAAAAACCCGCAGTTGTAGAAAAGCCCGCAGTCGTAGAAAAGCCTGTGGTCGTAGAAAAGCCTGTGGTAGTTGACAAACCTGTCGTCGAGCCAGAAACACCAGAGGTAACCGAGAAGGAGGTTGAACCGGAAGAAGAAACTGGCGTTCTTGAAACAGAAAAAGAGGCAGAGCCTGAAAAAGAGGCTGAGCCTGAAAAAGAGGCAGAGCCCAAAAAAGAAACAGAAGCTAAGGAAGAAGCTGAAGTAGAAATAGAAGCTGAAAAAGAACCAGAGACATCAGATGATGTAGAGAAACCCGCAGAAGAACCAGAAAATGATAAGGAAGTTGCCGAGGTGAAGGTAGTCACAGAGGATAAACCCGACGTTACGGCGGTGAGTTTTTAAGTTTCTAGTATTTATACTAAACAGGCTGTTCTTTACTTAATTAAAGGGAACCAGGCACGTAGACAATATCCACCTTATCCGACATTGTACTTTGCGTCTCACTTTCATAATTTATGCGAGACAGGTAACACCTTTCCGGGGTACTGCTTTATACTCTGTTTGAAATTTGTTAAATGCGGGTAATTTAAAAAGCAACATTAATGGTTCGTCAGAGCCAGGTTGTTGTGTGTAATGCAGTGTATAACACTCCGCAAATTCACTCAACACTTTTTCATTAAGTTATTAGCACTTCAAGCACAGTGTGCTGTGTGCTGCTTCGTTTGTGTTGTATTTTTAGACTGAAACAATGTGCGATATTGACAAGGTGAACAGTTATTTCTATTTAGTGTTGCCGAGTGTGGTAACATGTTTATAGTTGAGCTACCACCGGGGCCAGCTATGTTGCCTGTCTGTTTAATGTATAGTTTGTCTGGGCGAATGATTTTGTCTCGCCTACATTCTAACTATACTTTATCTGATTTATATTTACAAAATAATAACTGTGAATAAAATGTGAATCAGTTTGTTGACGCTTTATTTATGCAGGAGGCGGACGGGTTGGAGCTTACAAATGGAGAGACAACCTCTTCACTTGACTTCAATGTGATTGAGGATACTGCTGCTCTCACTTCGGTCACTAAAACCCGTGTAAGAGGACCCAAGAAGAAGCATCGACCTACCAAGTCCCTAGCTATCACAACTCTAGATCCATTTGAAGTGGCAGCAGCTAGTGACAGGAACGAACAGAATGGAACCCCCGAGCCTCCAACACCTGAGCCCGAAGTCAAACCAAAACCTAAAAAGTAAGTTACTCTGAAATCAAAACTGTGACGCTATGAACCTCTATTATTTACGATTAATCTATTACTTTTTCATCATGCTCGGATATCTCTTATCAACCCTTAAACTATTGCAGGACTTATGGAAAACCGATGGGTATGATGGGTATGGGCATGGGAGCAATGAACAGCGAGCTAATGAACAAGCTGGGCGGTAGGAAGAAGCCGACTACACCCGAACCAAAAGCTGAATCCTCAGAACCATCAACAGGTAGGATTGTTACCTGGGGACCTCAGGCTATTATGTTCATAATATAGAGATTAGGCGGAATGACAGGCTGAGCGCGGCCCAGTAAGTAGGATTGTTGTTATTACTTGTTGCTATGTTATTGAGGAACTACTTTTTTCAATCATTTATATCATGTGATATTATGTGAGGCGTGGTTGTCCGTATTTTTACGTCCCGAAAGTTAGCAAAACTGTTTTACTTAATCTCAAATTTCCAGAGACCCCTGAAAAATCACCAGCGCCAAAGAAAGCACCCTATCGACCACCTGGTGCCAGAGCGATGCCCGGTATGGGATTCGGCATGGGAGGAGGGATCGGAAACGAGCTAGCAGGAAAGTTAAAGTCACGGAACAAAGCCGTTGAATCTGAGGAGAAAACTACGGAATCCGATGACAAAGCTTCACCGCCCGTTCCCAAGTTAGTTCAAAGTTCTTACAATACTTTATCAGTCCTTATTTAAAGTTCTTTTGTATCATCAATCTTTTGTATCATCAATTATCAATGTGTGTAGTGTGTGTAGCTTACGTTGCAATTATCGAGCTCCCTTATCTTTTGTAACTTAGCGATAAGTTCAGTTTGCTGCTACCGCGTAGTTAGCCTTTGCGTGTGTAATTGTACATTACTATACAATGTACACCACGGAGGATGATCTGAATTTGACCCGATCTCAGAAGAAAATCAAGGATTTAAACTACGAAGAAAAGGAAGATGTAGAGGGCTGTACTGAAAGATGGTTTACTTCGATGGCAAGAGAACTGAAATTAGAAAACTTCGAAATTCGTGGAAATATGGACCAGGAAATACTCATGTCTCCGTCTATCTATAAAAGGTATATGGCAAACTGGGTTATGCAAGCAGCAGACCTCGTACGACGGCAGAGTAGTCAGATGAGCGCTATGATGGAAATCGTTGAGTGCCTCAAGACGGAAGCACTAGCAGACAAGGAAAAGATGGTCAGGTTGCAGGACCAGTTGCTAGTGCAGAAGGACGAACAACTACAGTTGTTTAAGACGTCAGTTGAAGAGACAGTACAAACAACGGTGGAGACAGGAATTAAGAGCTACAGTGCAGCTGTACAAAAGAACAGCACAAGTGGCGCGGTCTGCAACAGTAAAATTCTGAAGAATGTAATGAAGAGTGTGGCTGCAGAGGAGGACAGGAGCAAGAATCTGATAGTGTTTGGTCTGAAATAAGAGGATGAAGAACAGCTACCAGCTCTGGTAACCGCACTATTGGAGGAGATCGGGGAGAAACCTCATTTTGAAGCGACTAGAGTCGGCTGGAAGAGGCCTGGTACGGCTATCCGACCAGTCAAGATCACCGTCCCAAGCTCAACAGCAGTTCATCAGATTCTGATGAAAACAGGGAGACTGAAGATGGCTGATGCACACAAAAATGTATGGATCTGTCCTGATAGATCCAGTGAAGAGCGTGCAGCAAGGAAGAACGTGGTAACTGACCTGAAGAAGAAGAGGGCTGAACAGACTCATCTCGACCACTACATCCGTAACGGGAAGGTCTGTAGCCGGGTTAAGAAGACACCATGATGACGTAATTCATGTTTCTCGGACACCACCGATCAGTATAATATATACTTGTAGGGGTATTTTAAGAGTTAACGGACGTTATCTGTATTTGAGAGACAATTATATTATATTCATACATTATTATTTGATTGTTTCACACTTTTCACATTTCATAATTTTATTACTAGGTGGAGGTGATGTTATTGAGACTTTGGGCGGCCTCTTGTTCTGAAAGTTGTCCTCTGTACTTGTTTCACTGACCCACGCTTTTTAGCATTTATACATTTCGGCCCATTTTATATGTTTGTTCGAATTGCTGTACATTTGTATACTTGCTATTTTGTAAAAGTTTCAAATCAAATCAAATAGTCTTATATTAATATTACGTTATACTCTTGTTCATTTTTACACATTTGCTCACATCACTCACAGTCAGCCGCTCTGACATGGTTAACCACCTTCCTTGTGTTGTTGGTTAATCATATGAGCGGGATATAAATACCTCATTTCATTTCATTAACTTATCTCTTTAAACTGATGGCATCTTCTTTTCAGAGCGAAACCGAAAGGTGGATTAAATATTTTCCCTAAACCCGACGCTAATCGACCACGCAGTCCAGGATCTCTTGGTTCTGGTTCCCGTAAAACTCCAGTAAGTAATTATCCTAATTGTTTTAATTGAAATTTAATTTAATGAAATCCAGCCAAATGTTAGATAAGTTTCCCCACATTTATAGGTTGATATTTATCTGCAATTAAAAGTAGTAAAATGTGTTCTGCTTAGTTGTCTAGAACGGGAAAGAGCTCTAAATCAATGCGATAAGTATGTCACGTGACAAGTATGATAAATATGTAAATTATGTCCGTATTGTGTTGTGAAGTATATGATGCGTTCCGAAATATCTCCATATTTGTTTAGGACAGTGGTATAATCATTATACCTCTCTTTCGACCTGTGACATTTAGTTCTATAACGTACTCATTTATATCGCTTCTTTTTGTCGCTAATATGGTTCCTCGCTGTCTGCAGTTGTTGTAAAAACCATGCTGAAAACTTCCTTCCTGAACAAATATTATATCTTTCAATTTTCCAGTTCATAGATAATCATGCTTTTATCATCAAAAGCTGTAATAAGCACTAAAAACTGCTGATAAAATTATCGTTGCCTACCCTGAGAATCAGCCACAGTTCCATGTGGATAGCATTGAAGAAATAAGTTTAAAACTTATTTAACAGCATCGATCAAAAGTATTAATTATAATCTAAAAGTATTAATAATCTAATATATTTCTCAGGAGACACCGGAAAAGCCTAACATTCGGACCAAGTCTTGGGGCAAACAATCCTGAGTCTAGGGATTTTATATTATGGGAATTTTTAGATCAACTGCGTGTGAAGACTATGTACAAAATTATGTTAAATTTTCATTACGTTGTTAAGATTTGGAGATTTGTTATGAGATTTATTTTAATAATGTAGAAAAGAGAAAAGTAAGCGGTGCAATTTCTCTTTTAAATGGTGACTTATTATATCAAAATTACGCTAGATTCCTCGACAGTCTTCATCACTTAATAAGATAAATTTGTACAAGGCAAATTACCAGATTGATTGTTTTTATGAAAATTGATTTTTATGATTTTACTATTTTTAATCAATCCGAGTTAAATATTGGATTCAGATTCCATGATTCAAATTCAATCGCAATATTATTAATTTACCCGCTCACCATTTTGTTTATCTTCATTATGATGAAACAGTATGAGCTAAAAGACGTTAGATATTGGTGGGCATTTGTAAGGATTTATTTGTATATCATTATTATGATTGATGACTGCTCAGTCCAATAGACACTAGACAGTCCAACTTGCGAACAAGCCTGTTAAATACACTTATCAATACTAACAGATTCGATTTATTAAGTTTTGCTAACTTGGATTAAATATTTTTAATTGGAATCGTACGAGGAAGTGGATTGTAACTGTAATAGTAGTAGTAACACAGTAATCCTGACTCCTATCAAATCAGTTAGTAACATTAGCTCTAGATACGTTTTGTTTTTACTGGATTATGTGTGTGAGCTGACTTTTGTATGAAACATTTGAGATTTGTCGGAAAAATAAAGGTTTATCAATTTGTTTTAATTTTAAAGTGACCCTGTTGTTATTTAGGTTTATATATTAACCTACCGAACCCCGAGGCGGCTTGCCTGCTCCGTCAAATGTCACTGAATCGGCATGCTGTTAACATCATTTGCAGCGTAATTGGGCAATATTTACCTGGGAACCCTAGGCTATTATGTTCATAAACATAATAATAATTATAAAGATTCGGCGGAATGACAGGCTGAGCGCCGCCCAGTAAGGCAATATATACTAATAGTAACTGGCCCGCGCTCAGCCTGTCATTCCGCCTAATCTCTATTCGCTTCGTTAATGAACATGATAGCCTGAGGTCCCCAGGTAAACTAATAGGTGCTTCAACATGTTGAACTTCAACTACTACTAGCTGATTATGAACCAGACAACCTATAATTGATCTAAAGTACTATAAATTCATATCTAACTTCTTTTTAGTTTAACTTGATTCGCCTGATCTCTCTTATAATATTAAACATTAAAGAAAGCTGGAGAATGGAGAAGTCGTCGGGATCTAAACATATGTATATAAATATAAATTGCCCAGTTTTCGATAGTATTAGTGAGTTGCTTTTCGATTCATAACGTACAAACAACAAAGACGGCATGTGACTTCCTTGAGCTCCATCCTAGTCTGGTGTTTCGAAGAAATATAAAATTAAACGCTTACTATAAATACTAAGGCTTCGTGAATAGGTTTGTAACTTGAAGCGCGATGCGTTACTGTGCCGCGCCGCGCACTCAATGAGGCTTCTCACAGCGACACTGCCTAGATCGGCGAAATGCGCTACTGTGCCGCGCCGAGCTGCCATGAATTGACATCGTCAATTAAGTTTGTAACTTACATTTTTTCAAAAAGGCACCAGTGACTAGTGCACTGTGCAGTTTCAAGCTTGCGTTTCGGTTTATATGTTATAAATATATTTGTTCATAAGTTAATACTCATAGCTAGACTTAATCTTACCTGGGGACCTCAGGAGTCATGCTATCATGTTCATAAGCATAAAGAATAAAGATTCGGCGGAATGACAGGCTGAGCGCGGCCCAGTGGCCAGTAAAGCTAAACGTGAGTTTGGCGGTTTTTTACTTAGCTACGCCAATTATTTTCATTATCACTTCGCAATTCCATCATCTCGCGCGCGCCGCGCAACAAATGTATTTTTTTCAAATAAAATGGTTCCGTTTATATCTCCGGCAAAAGCATGAAACACACTAAACTCCCCAAATTTCGTGCATTGTAATAACTTCTTAAATCAAATTTTAAGAATCGAAACATAAATACAATAGCCTGAGGTCCCTTGCTCTGAGGCCTCTTGACTTGTAAAACAAGCGCGCCCGAAGTGGCGCGAAAGCACATGGTTAGGTGAATGAGGTCCCCAGGTAAAATCAAATTGTTGCAATGTATTTAAAATCAATGTATGCATTTATATAATATAAATTAATAGTACTTTAATTACTTTAAAAATAAAATAAAAACAAAGAAGCTCAAAAATGTTATTGTTTTATTTCTCCGTAAAATGTTGCTCTATCCAGAGCCCTGGTCTCAGCCCTTGGGCTTGCAATAGCGCGTGCCCATCTCCCTTGTTGCTAATTGTAAAACAAGCGCGCCTGCGGCCTGCAGGAGCGCAAAAGCATGTGGTTATGGGTTAGGTAATATAGAGGCGGTCCGTGTAGGCCTTACACTGTGCTTTCAGCAATACTTATATATTTATATATATATATATTAGGATACAAGGATACAAGGATACAAGGATACAAAAGTGATAATTATTTTATTGAGTTCACAATAGTTATAATTCTGAAATAATTTAAGTTACACACTTCTAATCATTTACAAATGTGTAAGGATAAAATAGAAATGTTATAATATAATGCTATTTTCTTTAAGTAAATCAAATTTGTATGGTTCATGAGTTTAATTATTATAAATATATATATTATACTTATAGATATGAACTATATAAAGTGATCGAACGATTCCCCGTAAAATTTTGGTCCATATATTATACAAGTCCAGGCACCTAATCTTAGTCCAAAATAAAGTTACTTACTTCGTTACTTCGTTGAGTTCATCCGTGGAGCCGGAAGGGTCATCAGATATCTGACCACCTGGATGGCAAGTAGTCAACCAGTGAGTTTGACCAACTGCAGCTGTAGCCGGCGACCGTAGGGTTGTCCGGTATCAAAGCAAGAAAGTTCGACAAACTACACTTAAACATGTCAAAGGATGAATCAGCCTTTACTGTGTGAGGCACTTTGTTCCACAGCTTCGGTCCTTGAACTGCAAAAGACCTGTCGTACAGTGACTGGTTGCGTAAGGACTTTGACAATGAGGGTATGACAGCTACATCACCGTGTCTTGGGGTCACCTTGAACTTGATATCACAGCAGTTTGGTACCACATTATGGAGAATCTTCCACATCATCAGGATGATATACCTCTCCCGTCTGCGCTGTAGAGACATCAATTTAAGCTGTACGAGTCTTTCCCAATAGTTGAGATGTTGAAGACCACCAATACGACTGTTGAAAGTTCTTTGCACCCCCTCTATCAGCTGTATTTCAGTCACCTTGGTAGGGCTCCAGAGTGGGCAGCAATACTCCAGTAGGCTTCTTACTAGTGACTTGTAGAGAGTAGTCATAACGGTCTTGTCACGGGTCTTGAACACACTGAATACCCATGTAAGAGCCGCTTTAGAAAGCACTGGAGTTTATCTCCAGGATTAAATTATATCGAGTTATATGATTTAGCTATAAGGCGGTTTATAAATGTTGTATTTATTATTATTATAAGATAGTGTTGCCGATGTGTGTCGACCAGCTAAGATCACTTGAAACCATAACTCCAAGATCTCGGACGTTTTCGATGGGGTAAAGTATGTCCTGACTGGATACTTTGTAACGCAGTGTTTCGGCAAAGAAGGGTAAAGTAAGTTATAAAACTATTTCATACGTATCAAATTGAATGTGCATTCGTGAGAGATGTATGTGATATGATATATGATATATCGCGTGCCAATTAAGAATCACACCCATACCATGACACATGAATTAATTTAAAATGCTTCCATGTGCAGTAGTATATAAAAAATTTCTTGCTCACATGACAAGCTGGTTGGTAAAACGCTTTTTGGCTTAAAAGTTAGGGCTAGAGTTTTTGTGAGGGTTATGGTTAGTTTCAGAACTGAAGATAGATGCTGAACTTCCTCTACACTTTATGATATGAGTTGACATACAGCCAAGGCATTTTGAGATTATAAGAGGCATGATACTCATCAAAAGCAACATTGCAAAAGTTTTACTGCCCGGAAAGCAGTAAATACTACTATGTTCACGTAGGCCATTGCATATTATTTCAGGTCATATTATCCAGATCGATAGATGGGTCCAGATGTTCACATCTTTCTCCAATCTTCACACTGTGTAAGCACCCTTGGTTCAGCCAAACAACGTTTTTTACATAACAAGTGGTTTTAAGTTGTATTAAGAAATTTATTTTTCTTAATCCTCTAATCCTCTAATCAGCCTTATAAAAGTTGTCCATCTCATGGTTGAAAGCTTGTTGGAAGTTAAGTCTTCAGTTTCATCATTACTGCTGTGAAGTTTTGGACGGTCTTGGTTAAAAAATGTTAAGTTCATGAAGAACTTAACTTTAATGCTGTGATTTCATTGGTCACCCCTACAATGCGCCACAAATCCAATTTATATACAATTTGTCTACCACACGTGCAATAAACCCTACTTAAGCTCTGATTCTTAACCAAAATATTCAATAATATGTCCCATTCAATGCATGGTAACTAACTTATTAACTTTTAGGAACTAATATAAACCTAACCATGGTGTATAAATTCATGAATTATGCGTAATATATGATAGAATGATCACTGCAATTGTTCTGGTCCATTTAAGATTACGGCAGTGGCGTAACTTTGCCTTTTGGCGCCCCCCCGCTCAGTGACGAAAAGCGCCCCAAATATTTTTTTCGCGTCGACCGAATGCTAAATTGGACAGGGAAATACACAAACAAGGCGTTTTTTCAGTGAAAGGGCCTAAAATTCAGGAAAATTGCGCCCCCCTTATACGGCGCCCCCCCCCCCCTCCGCACAGCGGGGTCTGCGGGGCCCTAAGTTACGCCACTGGATTAAGGGCCCACCGACCCTGTTGTGCAGGGGGGGGGGGGGGGCACCATCTTAGGGGGGCGTTGTTTGAATGTGGGATAATTTGGAAAAACTTAACTACAGTACTAGCAAAACTACGCGTTTTGCTCTAGCAGTAGAAACACACTATTCTAGAGATTTTACCGGCATATCCTCTAAAATCATATAATTTGTCCAATTTTAGGGAGGGGCATCAAAAGGGGGCGGGGGCGCCAACAGGGGGTGGTACTTTTTCAGTGGGGGGGGGGGGTTGATCGTTGTCTTAGGTAAATATCATATATATACCATTATTTATCGTACAGGCAATGTTGCGCCACTGGAAGAAGTACAGTAAATTGGTTCAGTTTCAGAAAATAGAAAATAAAGCATGTAAATGTTAAATAAATTATAGATAACATTCCATTCTTCATTCATCTGCAACTTTGTTGTAACATGATCACAGTCATGTAACTGTGTCATGTAACTGATTTACCCTTATCAACATTCTAAAATGAGATGCAGCAGTTTTTTTGTTCAATTATCAAATTTCTCTCACTAATGAATACATATTATAAGTCTATTCGAAACATTTTAAGTAAAGCTTCCTGAAAAGATCTGCATCTTACTCGTATTACAGAGACAGTCAACAGAAAAAATAACTTACCATCGTTAAATTGCTAATTGATAACGACTAGAGTTCCATAACATAACTTTACTTTTAATATGGCAGTATACCAAACCATGATGCCAGTCAGTTTGACGTCAGGTTGACGTTTTACTACAAGTAACAATACAGGAAACTTATCCAAAATTTAATAGTTTATAAAAATTTTACTTATGAAGTATGAAGCCATATTATAATATTTGTGCAGCACAATATATGCATTTGGGGAAGCGTCAGACCCTGAAGTTGAACTACTTATCATCACAGACCAATTAAGTTCACCAAAATTTAGGAACCTTCTATTATAGTTATTATATTTTGTGGATGTGAGATTGATGTTATAGTTGGTTTATAGTTGTGATTGAATCAATTGCATGATGCAAATTTCTTGGAAATTATTATCATAATGACGCTTTAACTTTAACTAGCAGGAACCCGTCTAACCCTAAAGTGGTGTCAAGACTCAAGAGACTAAAATAATTATTACCTATTTAATTCGCGTTTTAAAGCATTTGACCCAGTCAAAAAAGTTTCAGTTGTATATCTTTTACGGTTTTTGCGGAAAGTCGTGTTAAAGTTGATGCCGTGGTGTCAGTAAAATGGCACGGATAAATAGATATATATATATATATATATCGTCTCGCTTTATATATAGTAAGATGCTTATCACTTTATCAGTAAGTTTTGTTTGCAAATTATTTCAGTCTGCTTTGTAATGTAGTCTAGTATATAATCATCATTTTGTTACTGGTTTTAGTAGGTTTAAAGTGGAAATCAAACAGTGATCCTGATCTCAACGTTTTATTCTTTGATCTCTTAAAAATCAGCTTTGCCTAAATTTTACTTTAGGCTATAAATATTGATAAATAATACGTTCAATTTTGCTTAGTATCACGATTTGAACAAAATCAATTATTTGGAGCCTTATTAATGCGTGTTCTCCGTAACAGCAACTTATTACAATGTTTGACCTGATAGTTGATTTTTGCACTGTCTTCGTGATTTTCACATGATTCATATGCGAGGCTCAATGAGCGTGTTACAGGATTTTGTTTTAACAGCCTACACTAATTGAGTTCAGCTGACTCTATAAATAGCATCAGTTTAGTCCTACGCCAGTAGCCAGTGGTTTTTAACAGCGTGGTTGTTAGGCTCACAGCTGTTAATCAACAGAGTTTTAAAAATTCAGGAGTTTTTGGCAAAAATTGTTTACTGACGCGGACGTTTTTGGCAAAAATTGTTTACTGACGTCAACAAGACCCAGACGAGACCAGCCTCGGCCCCTCCTCCACCGTCAGTAGCCGTCAGCATCTCCCCCATCGGCTGCTGACACTACTTTATCTGTCATGATTAAATCGGTCGTTAGATGCGCCCGGGCGCCGTCCCGGTTAATAATCAATCAATGATGCTCTTTTAGAAGATTCTTAGACTTAAAGGTTCTATTATAAGGTTCATGAATTTTCTGTAATTTCATGAATTTAACTGTAATTTCTATATCTATCATCAGGCTAGATCTATCAGCTGCATTTGTTAATGGTAAGAATGTCTTGCTTTGTGATCAATTTAAAGGTGGTAACCTATCGGCTACAAATAATTTCATTAAAACGTTTAATTATTTGACCACGTTATTTTCTTAGCTGTGAATCGCATCAATGACTATCAGTCTCCTCCCGAAATGTTTTGCTATGCTGAAAGGGAACAGACATAGTGAACTGCTCGAACTACCTTCTCTTCCGCTTGATAAGGTAGTGTTTTATTTTAACTAAAATCTAGATTAACTTGACTTGCTGTTAACGATTCTTCAGCTATGTACAGGTTGATTTGTAAATAATTAAACCTTCGTCTCAGGAAATTCCAAGGTACGTATTTGAAAGAAGAGGAGCAATATCCTTAGGACTGCCAACTTCTCCAAAAGCTAAGAAAAACGCGTGTGGTGACGGACCTCGTCCTCGTCTGATGGTGGGTTATAAACGTTTTTTGTAAGATTTACTTTCTAATTTTCTATTTCCTTTATCAATAACCATCTCTTACACGAAAAAATCGCAAACTGTTGAACATTCTTAATTTATCTAAAATGTAAAAAACAATCGTCTCAAAAGTAACTGTTCACTTAATCAACAACTCTTTAATAGCGTCGTGGAGGTGTCTCTGTTGATGTTGAAGATGTTGAAGCGAAGTATCTCAGACTCCTTGGTATGTATTTTACTTTACAGTTTACCATAATTTTCAGATTTTGTAAGAAATAGAAAACGCTTGACTTTAACATAGAGAAATACACCATTCTAGTTTTCAAAGGAAGGAGTTATATCGTTCGTATAATTATGCGTTTTAGTAGCAGATTAAAATTACAGTAGAAATCAGGTGTATTTTATTGAAACGGCGTTACTAAGTAACTACCATGCAATGGGTCGTGTTGCTTTTTGCACGTGAGGACTACATGATGTACAGACATAATTACCAATTTTCTGATAACGATAAGAGCGTTGATTTGTCACAAATTTAAGTCGATTCCTTTTATTGCAAAGGAGATTAAGAACTTGGACAGACTAGAACGCTGACAAAGGATAAATTAGGAGCTATCAGATAGCCTAGATATCCTTACATCCCGAAGCTTACTACTTTATGCACGTGCGGAGAATTATAGTCGCTACTTCTTAACTTCGTCTAGAAAGGAATATTTCAACACTTTATCCTAGCCTCCCCCCTAGTAGGCTCCCCCAGTATAGCCTCCCCCAGTATAGCCTCCCCCAGTATAGCCTCCCCCAGTATAGCCTCCCCCAGTATAGCCTTCCCCACTAGCCTCCCCCAGTATAGCCTCCCCCACTAGCCTCCTCCCTAATAGCCTCTCCCTAGTAGCCTCCCCCCTTATAGCCTCCCCCAGTATAGCCTCCCCCATCCGGTTATCAAAACAGGCAGAAGCTCACTTATAGTGGAGCTTCAAACTCTAACCAAGTCTGGATAGGCCAAGGTCTGCTTTCTATAGCCAGTATTTTAACCTGCCCATAGTCTGTAACGGGCTAAATAGATGCTGATAAATAATAATTATAATGAGGCTGTTAATTATGACTAGGCTAAATAGATGCTGATAAATAATAATTATAATGAGGCTGTTAATTATGACTAGGCTAAATAGATGCTGATAAATAATAGTTATAATGAGGCTGTTAATTATGACTAGGCTAAATAGATGCTGATAAATAATAATTATAATGAGGCTGTTAATTATGACTAGGCTAAATAGATGCTGATAAATAATAGTTATAATGAGGCTGTTAATTATGACTAGGCTAAATAGATGCTGATAAATAATAGTTATAATGAGGCTGTTAATTATGACTAGGCTAAATTGATGCTGATAAATAATAGTTATAATGAGGCTGTTAATTATGACTAGGCTAAATTGATGCTGATAAATAATAGTTATAATGAGGCTGTTAATTATGACTAGGCTAAATAGATGCTGATAAATAATAGTTATAATGAGGCTGTTAATTATGACTAGGCTAAATAGATGCTGATAAATAATAGTTATAATGAGGCTGTTAATTATGACTAGGCTAAATAGATGCTGATAAATAATAGTTATAATGAGGCTGTTAATTATGACTAGGCTAAATAGATGCTGATAAATAATAGTTATAATGAGGCTGTTAATTATGACTAGGCTAAATTGATGCTGATAAATAATAGTTATAATGAGGCTGTTAATTATGACTAGGCTAAATTGATGCTGATAAATAATAGTTATAATGAGGCTGTTAATTATGACTAGGCTAAATAGATGCTGATAAATAATAGTTATAATGAGGCTGTTAATTATGACTAGGCTAAATAGATGCTGATAAATAATAGTTATAATGAGGCTGTTAATTATGACTAGGCTAAATTGATGCTGATAAATAATAGTTATAATGAGGCTGTTAATTATGACTAGGCTAAATAGATGCTGATAAATAATAGTTATAATGAGGCTGTTAATTATGACTAGGCTAAATAGATGCTGATAAATAATAGTTATAATGAGGCTGTTAATTATGACTAGGCTAAATAGATGCTGATAAATAATAATTATAATGAGGCTGTTAATTATGACTAGGCTAAATTGATGCTGATAAATAATAATTATAATGAGGCTGTTAATTATGACTAGGCTAAATTGATGCTGATAAATAATAATTATAATGAGGCTGTTAATTATGACTAGGCTAAATAGATGCTGATAAATAATAATTATAATGAGGCTGTTAATTATGACTAGGCTAAATTGATGCTGATAAATAATAATTATAATGAGGCTGTTAATTATGACTAGGCTAAATTGATGCTGATAAATAATAATTATAATGAGGCTGTTAATTATGACTAGGCTAAATTGATGCTGATAAATAATAATTATAATGAGGCTGTTAATTATGACTAGGCTAAATAGATGCTGATAAATAATAATTATAATGAGGCTGTTAATTATGACTAGGCTAAATTGATGCTGATAAATAATAATTATAATGAGGCTGTTAATTATGACTAGGCTAAATAGATGCTGATAAATAATAATTATAATGAGGCTGTTAATTATGACTAGGCTAAATTGATGCTGATAAATAATAATTATAATGAGGCTGTTAATTATGACTAGGCTAAATAGATGCTGATAAATAATAATTATAATGAGGCTGTTAATTATGACTAGGCTAAATTGATGCTGATAAATAATAATTATAATGAGGCTGTTAATTATGACTAGGCTAAATTGATGCTGATAAATAATAATTATAATGAGGCTGTTAATTATGACTAGGCTAAATTGATGCTGATAAATAATGACTAATAATGAGGCCGTTAATTATGACTAGGCTAAATAGATGCTGATAAATAATAATTATAATGAGGCTGTTAATTATGACCAGGCTAAATAGATGCTGATAAATAATAATTATAATGAGGCTGTTAATTATGACTAGGCTAAATAGATGCTGATAAATAATAATTATAATGAGGCTGTAAATATGACTAGGCTAAATTGATGCTGATAAATAATAATTATAATGAGGCTGTTAATTATGACTAGGCTAAATTGATGCTGATAAATAATAATTATAATGAGGCTGTTAATTATGACTAGGCTAAATTGATGCTGATAAATAATGACTAATAATGAGGCCGTTAATTATGACTAGGCTAAATAGATGCTGATAAATAATAATTATAATGAGGCTGTTAATTATGACCAGGCTAAATAGATGCTGATAAATAATAATTATAATGAGGCTGTTAATTATGACTAGGCTAAATTGATGCTGATAAATAATGACTAATAATGAGGCCGTTAATTATGACTAGGCTAAATAGATGCTGATAAATAATAATTATAATGAGGCTGTTAATTATGACTAGGCTAAATAGATGCTGATAAATAATAATTATAATGAGGCTGTTAATTATGACTAGGCTAAATAGATGCTGATAAATAATAATTATAATGAGGCTGTTAATTATGACCAGGCTAAATTGATGCTGATAAATAATGACTAATAATGAGGCCGTTAATTATGACCATCTGCTGTGTCAGTCTCTACTTGGTGCGAGCATTCTGGAATACTACTTTTTATTTGTACAGAGCAAGGTACCTACTGGTACAGTGTAAACTTGAGAGGATTTACTGGATTGTCAAGACGTAGCTTTTTAGTTAAACTTAGTCAAACTTTCAGTTAAAATACGACACTTCCCCGCAGCAAGGTTGTTATGCTCAGGCTAGTCAAATTAATTTAATCAAGCAATTGTCTTGCTGTGCTGTGCCCTGCGATCCTTCGTTTATCGGATTATTGGTGATAGCATCACGTTAAATCCGATAATATCAAAATGCAGTGGAAACCAAAATGTAAAGTATGTGTATGTGATTCTTAAGAATAAAGTTAAGTTTTTAAATTTCTGACATGTGAAAACATAAGAATACCGAATTTTAGCTAGACTTCTTGAGTTTTTATAATTGAGCGAAGCCTGCAGATTATCTCCCGAAAACTTTCAACAGAACAATAACATGTAAACTGTAAACCACGCAAAAAGAGCCATGCAGCCACCAGCCACCAGCCACCAGCCACCAGCCAGGGGGTCTCAGAGTGAGTCACGCATTTAAACACTGGCTCATTGTCATGGTAATGAATTGCCATGGTTTAAAATCTTTATAATGGTATTAACATTTCGTGTTATTAATTATCGTTCAGGTAACTGGACAGTCACTGTTAAGTTATGAGTTTTTTGTTAAAATTCGTATCTAATAATTGGGTCCTGCGCGGTGCAGAGGGTGCAAGTAGGTTTAACACCCAAACTTCTATAATTCAGCGATAAGTATTCGATTATATCTATAAACTATAGCCCTATGATCCCCCATTATTTCTTAGAAATTCACTTCTAAATTTTGTCGCTCAACCATGGCACCTCATTCGCTTTTATCTCGTAAGTACCTTAAATAAGCATCATATTTTCGTTCTAGATATTCCGCCGAATTAATTGTAGGATTAATAATGGATTTAAGGATATTATAGTTCCGTGTACTAATTGATGTTATATGTCACTTAATTTATTGCCGTTTCAATCCTGCCTCGTGTCTTGACAGTGTCGTACAAGTGCATATTAATTACCCGAGCCAGTTTAGGTATCTACCCTACATTAAATAATTAGTTTTTGCTGTTCACAGTATACCATGAATCTCACGGATGATGATTAACCATTAATTGTATCCAAGCACAAATTACCGCATTATGGTATTGATTTTTAATCATCTTTGCTTGACGTTCTCACTATCAGTGTTGTCACGTGACTTATTTAGTCTCCGTGATACCATCATATCATGTTATATCTTTTTGGGTTTAAAGATAAATCCAAGGTGTACGACTTGTAGATATTTCAAGATTACTTCATTTGGATACTAAAATGTTAATCACGAGTCTTGAACTTTGTCTAGCCTAGTGGCATCTTTATAATGACGAAAAATAACCATTTAAACTAATAATATAGTTGACGTAGTTCTACTGAAATTCCTGGATTCGCAGAAATAGTAAATCGAATATTTAAATACATAAATACCCTGAGATAGAAAGTTTATCTCTAGTATAAAACAACTTGAATTAAATCAACAAAGTGTCTCGGAGATGATCTCCTGCCTCCTGAATAACATACTTAGCTTTAAACTTCAAATTAATCAAAACCGCTGCACCAGCCTCTCATTATTATATAAACAGCTTTAAAGCTCCCTCGCTCCAGCTGTTTGATTTATTAAATCTCACCGTATAAAAAAAACGTTTACCTCTCCCGTGCTCCACAAACCTGAGCTCTTTATCCAGACAGAAAGTAGGCAGTTAAACTGGTGATCCTGTTTAAAGTCTCTAACAGATGTCAAATGTTTTTAGGGGGGGAGTGTTATAAAACTATCCTCCTGCTGCTGCTGCTAGAGAGAGAGAGAGAGAGAGGGAGAGAGAGAGAGAGAGAGAGAGAGAGAGAGAGAGAGAGAGAGAGAAAGCTGCAACTGCTATGCAGTGTCTTGTACCATGAATGTCGATAGTCCTTGAGTTAAACTTTTTAAACATGCCCGGGGGCCATGACAAGGCATGTGCGTGTTTTAACACTAACGTTAAAGATTTGTAAAGCCCTGTAATTCTGTGCTTGTTGCACGCTAGTACCCACCGTTATATGGTAGGTGTTTTATCATCATGTTGGATGTGATGAACCACGTGACATGTACCACGTGATCGCTATTCACTGCCATGTGATCTGTATGTGACTGTTTCAGGTGGGTTATTATCGAATTATTGAGTTGAGAAGATGAAGATAAGCTGATATGTGAAGCAGGGTAGAAATGAGAAAAGTGAATATTGATAATGTAATAAAGTAACACATCTCACGTAGTATATAATACAAGATTTCGTTATGTTGCGACCTGTGGGGAGACAGTTGACGAACTGTTCCACTGATTTGTAAAGCAGCAGACAAGATAAAGGTATCGGGTCTACTAGCCGACTACCGTAACGTGATGACGTAACAAATTTATCTTGCTCTGAAATAAATGTATTTACAAATATCCGTGCGCACATTTTATTGACGCTGAATTACTATTCCGTCTTTTCTGATAATATTAATGCAGTTACAGAAAAACATGCGTCATGTATAACAGTGTACATACACAACAACTTGTATAGCTCTGGTATCTGTGCGGGTGTGTGTGATAATAATACACACAAATACACATTGGTACACGCGCCAATTACACTCTGCTCTGTACACTGTTCCGGAGTAAACAGAGCCAATAGAATTAGCCGCACTCCCGGATGCACCAGGCATGAGTACCCTCAGCGGTGCTGCAGAAAGAAGCGCTCAATTCAAAGAAATAATTTAATATTTCTTGCATATTCCCTGTGTGTTCATTATAATATATTCCTTATAAATTCCTTGTACTCAGTACTCACTGTATGTAATCTACACCTATCCGTCAAATATAATTGCACGTGTGCGTCAAAACCTTGACAAGTTTTACCCTAGCAAACCATCACTATATTGTGCAAAAAGCATTCAATCCCAATAATTTGCCCTCATAATATTATCTTATTCTCGTAAAACTGCGTACTGCGCGCGTGAATTTAATGTAGAAACTAAGAGCCGATAAACGTTCTAAAATTTCTGATCAAAGGATCAAAATAGAACGGTAAATTTCTTAAATTTTCTTGAAATGTAAGGTTTCCCGAAACTGACTGTCATAACTTCAATTGTCAAAGAGTCCTTGAGTTTTACCAAGAATGTCTCCTTTCTAACGAATATTTAATATCTTCATTGACAACCGATTAATCTTCAAAGCGTCCAAAATGTTTTCAACATGCCGGTATTCCTTATAGTTCCCAGGTAGAATCAACAGTTTTTACAGCTACATCAAAGGCTTATCTTTATGATATTATTATGGGCGATGGCCAGTCATATTTGTCGCAAATTGTAGCGCTTTCCCGCTAAAGCTGTCAAAGGAAAGGGGCACCCTTATTATCCATACCTTAGACGTGTCAGCAATATACAGCAATATATGTACTATAATAATGGTAATATATAGTATATACTACTATATATATATCCTACCCTCTCAGACTCAGTTATCTGTCGCGTGTTCTCTGTCACGTGCACGAGTTTAGTAACGCGTGTGACCTTCTAGAATGGATAGAACACCAAGAGAGCTATTTCTGACAAATTTGGCTCATTACCAATTCCACCCAATCTGCCAAAATCCGACAAGCTCTTGACCTGCAACTACTTACCGAACTTAAATTTTGACATGTTAAACCTGTTAATGAGCTCTCTCCGTGGAAATTAAAGTTTAATATTTATTGTGTAATACTCTAAATGCGGGGGAATCGTGTCTTGTGTCTAAAATTACAATTTAATCGGAGCTATATTTGTCTTCGTGCCCCTTGAATCCTCTGAAACTAAACGGTTTTTGGTTTATTAGCTTTTGACGGGAGCTGAACTCTGCAGTATAATCTTGGTGCCAAAGTATAGCTTTGTTGACTGCTGGTAGATAAAATAAGATCAGATCCATAAATATCCGAGTGTCTTGATCGGGCGTGGGGTAAAATAAGCTATGTGATTATCTTTATTGGTGCTGTCAGTCTCAGCAGTCAGCATTATAAGTCAAATGTAGGACGTAAGTAATCTCAGTCTTGCAGTGTTGGCTACCAGTACCATATTGGCTACCAGTACCATGTTGGCTACCAGTACCATGTTGGCTACCAGTACCATGTTGGCTACCAGTACCATGTTGGCTACCAGTACCATGTTGGCTACCAGTACCATGTTGGCTACCAGTACCATATTGGCTACCTGTACCATGTTGGCTACCAGTACCATGTTGGCTACCAGTACCATGTTGGCTACCAGTACCATGTTGGCTACCAGTACCGAAGGTAGTCAAATGTTATTTCTGAGGTCGAGGCTACGAGCACTACCAGGTTTTAATAATAATACATATAACAAAATGCAATCTACGATGATAATTAATCAAATATTGCTATTTATAGCAATATAACAGCTATAACAGTTTTAACATTACAGGAGACACAGAACAAGCAACAAGGAAGAACAGTACCATAACCCAGTTCACCGTCAAAACTTCTCTCAAAGGTAAGAGTGTGTCCAGCTGAAATACAGAACTTTGGACCAGTTTGAAATTACGGACTTCCATACCTGACAACAATGCGATCTGACGACCATTCCTCGAATCCCAACAAAATGTTGAAATAAGTTGAACTGGTTTGGAGTTTGAAGTTTTACTTAGTTGCCCTGATCATCAATATTCATTTCCGTAAGGTTTATATATTTCACTGTTAAACTATTCCTTATCTAGCGTGGTCAATACAGCCTTGTTCTCCAAAACTTTGTACTGTACGTGTTTGGTAGAAAATTATATGTTTTTAATTCATGAAAAGAACGTTTAATATTGCTGCACACGATTAAATGGAGAACGGCCGTGCTAAATCAAATGTAAACGTGTGAAACTTACAACTTTTCATGCACAGTGGAACACAAAATGTGAAACACGTGGCCAGCTGTTGGAAGTGAGTGTGAAAGTTTAGACCGTTGTAAAGGCTCCATGTTTTAAAATCAGTCAGTCTTCTCCTATCACGTGATGTGATGTTAAAACAATGTTGGTACCCACATTCCTATTGTGACCATGGTCGTTTCTGAACTTTCCGTGGACATTTTTGTTGATATATGAAGGTCTCGTTTGTTCTGAATAACATTTTTGATATTAAAGTCTCTCGCGTAGCAAAAAGACTAACTAATGAAAATTGAACTGCACAAGTTGTTATTGATCTAATGAAATTCTAGAATATTCTCAGCAGTTCATTAATATCACCTCGTGATAAAATAGGTATTAGATGCCCTTTGTCTCGGTGTTTTTTATAAATATGAAGTGTTAGCAAGGCATGTTAAAATCACGGCAAGCCCGCATTTGTTTTATCTTCGCCATTCCTCAATATTGCAAACAACAGAATATTCCTACTCGGCGTGTCATTTGTTTCAAATTCTATAGCTCATTGTTACGGCATTTCAAGTATTCACTGCTAGTTTTTCAATTCGTTCTGGGGAGGATCATGGTTCCATAAGTTTGAATTTGCGACTAACCACCCCTTGATCTAGACACCATCACTCAGAGATCTGCATTCTGCGGTCACTGTTCAGTATATTATATGTTTGAAGGAATTTACTGATGGGCTGATGATCGCCGGCCGCAAAATCTAACAAATCGTCCCCGCCGGACTTTCAGACTCATCACCAGAGAAGCATGCTCAAATGGAGCACTTCCTGACGCCATAACCTTAGAAGTACGGTCTGAGGAATTCGGTATCTTCCCTGAAGCCATAAACTGGTTAGAGTTTCAAGCCCATTCATCAATATGTACGCCAGTTTTGAAGATGTGTTGGATCACTAACGAGTTGGTTTGTGTTCGTCCAATTGTGTGGCAATTACTGAACATAATGAACCGGAAAGTGTGTACCTCTTTCATTCAGAGATTTTATTCTTTATGAAAGTTGGAATACAGCCACACAACGCGAATGATCCTCAACAATTCAACAGCCAAACATTAGGGTTGTCTTGGAAATAAACCAACATATAATTTAATAATGAACTTGTGCAAATTAATGATCGCAATATAAATTAACTGTATCTAATTAATCTTATATCATAGCATTTAATTAGTATTTTTGGTTCCCCCGAAACATGGAGCAAACAAACACACAATTGAAAGCCGAACACAATTAAGGTTATCTTTTTTCTTAAAATTAAACCGTCAATACTTACCCCACGTACGTCATAACGTGCGTGATATAAATTAATTAATGGTATCTAATTAATATCCCGGGGAGAATGTGTTAACTACGTCACTTGCACTAGCTTGCATACCTGTCATGAATTCCCAATGGTTATTATAATTGGGTATTAGATATTATCCCCTCCCTTTAGCTTCACTACAGTCTTGAAGATATTACATATCAGACACGTTGACACTCTAGGACCGTCTCCAAGGTTATAACTCCTCTGCCTGGTCCGAATTTTCTAACTTACATGCTTGTTTAACTCTAACTTGCTAGATGCTTGCAACTGTCACGTGCCCTGGCATTCCTCCAAGATCCCCCGTTACTTGCTATCGTGCACGGTATTTTTCTAGATCCCCGTAAACTCTCACGCTCGATCATTGTGTGTTGTACATTTGCCCGTGTCATTTGTACAACTCGACACACAATATTCTATCTATTATTATAGCCTGGTACGTACCAACTCCAAACTTATACACTACAACTCTGTACTTTTACGAGTTCTTTCATAACATCCGCGTACTGAGCTATAACGATATACTTGTGGTAATAATATGCCAGCAGTACGTGTAAACGTAATTAATATGCGGTCAGACCCCCTCCCTCCCTCTCGGCAGCTCCAGGGTGGAAGCTGATGGGTAGTGTGCGCGGTGGGGACAATCCCTCCAGTAGGGGTGAAGTAACTAAAGTAGGTTGGTAGTGTGCGCGGTGGGGACAATCCCTCCACTAGGGGTGAAGTAACTAAAGTAGGTTTGGTAGTGTGCGCGGTGGGGACAATCCCTCCACTATAGGTGAAGTAACTAAAGTAGGTGCGCGGTGGGGACAATCCCTCCACTAGAGGTGAAGTAACTAAAGTAGGTTTGGTAGACATTCTGGCGCGTTTCTATGAGTTACTAAAACGTCTTCAACACTTGGTTGTCTTCCTTCCTCCCTAGTTATACTAACCCTGACCTGCGCAATTTTCTCTCTCTCTCTCTCTCTCTCTCTCTCTCTCTCTCTCTCTCTCTCTCTCTCTCTCTCTCTGCGTTGTTCTGAGCAGATGTTTTTTGCTGTGTTGTTGTAGTATATAGTTGGTCAGGGCATGGAACTTACTGAGCGTAGTTAAATCTTTTGCTAACAACATGGCAGGTGGGTATGGGTTGGGCTGCCCAGGGTATGTGATGTGCCTAACAGTTAACTGTATGTGTTGGCCCCAAAAGTTGACCCTCGTTAGTTGCTGCCATTCTGCTTTTGTTTCCTTTGTCCACCCTTCGTCAGCCAAGCGTAAATTTCCGATGAGGTATTAACATTATCAATACCAGACAATAGCCATAATTTGATGTGTTCCGTTTCATTCGTGTAGTTTGTTGCATCTGCGCTAAATGACAGCTACTAGTGCCCGCCACTGGTCGACCTATCTTATTTGAGCCACATTTGACAGTGCAGGGTGGTTAATGTAGGGCTGAACTATATAAACAGTCATGTGACGTGCCCTGATTTCAGATTTGAATAGCACCTACAGTACCACAACAGTACCACCTACAGTACCACCTACAGTACCACCACAGCACCACCTACAGTACCACCTACAGTACCACCTACAGTACCACCTACAGTACCACCTACAGTACCACCACAGCACCACCTACAGTACCACCACAGCACCACCTACAGTACCACAACAGTACCACCTACAGTACCACCTACAGTACCACAACAGTACCACCTACAGTACCACCACCACCACTATAACAATATAAACGACAGTTCACCTGTCTACCGTATGACGTGTCCCACATTGTCCAACACAGAGAGGTCGGCGGCTGCTGATTGCTGAACCACTGCCGGCTTGATATAATGACAGTTGGTTTGACAATCCCGCACATGCCGGTACGTATGTCAGAGAGAGACGGTAGCAGTTGTTAATCTATACCCTCCTGTTTGTTGGGGGTGGGACATGTATTTGTGCAGGTATTTGCACAGATCATGATGACGCAGCCCCCTTTCCTGCGTTCACAGATTAATTAATCACTGTATAGGCAGCTGTAAAGTGCTCTATCATGTACGTAAGTTGGGAGACAATTGACCGCGCCCACAAATTGACAGATACCATATAACCAACTCCCTGGCAACCACCCCTGGTTACCTTGCTACGTAGCAACAACTAGATGGTATAATGTCGTCATTATATCTTAATTATACCTAAATATCCCTAATTATCCCTAATTAATATTATCCCTAATTATCATAATTATACCGATTTCATGACCAATTTCAACAAGCAGCTCCTAATATTGTCAAGCCTGATAACATGATAACATGGTAATGGCTGTGATGAATAGTGTCGTACACACACATCATGATATCGAGCTGTGCTCTTGCTCTGGTGATCGTATCTCTGTTTGATATCAAGCTGCTGTTATTCTTTAGCTTGCTTGTAACAACTGACAGTGTTTGGTGTTCACTGTTGTTGTTGTTGTTGTTGTTGTTCAGCCTTGCTATTGTTCTGTCTGTAAAATGTGTACAGTAGATTGTACTTCACTACTAGCACGTATCGTTTGATTTTATTGTCTGTTCCTCATTTAGTGCCGATGTATATTATACTGCATAGTAGTAAGTAGTGAAAATGTAAGCCCGCTGTTCTGGTTTGACGCGGTGTGTCGGCTTTGAATACCCCTTACTTTGACCCACCATCGATATTATCCATGTAGGTTTTCTACTGTAAGTTACTTAGTTAAGTTAAATTCACCGACAAAGAGTTCATAAGAAAGATTTTGAGCGACATCATCGCAACTCTTTAAGATACATTACATACGCACCTTGTACGGTGATATGAACTGCTCAAAGTCGAGCCAATTTATGACCATATAACCCATGGTGACATAACTATAAAATAATTTAAAACCTGAATTAACTTATAATACCTTATAAAAAGAATGACGTACCGCGGCTTTAATAAGGCCCATGAGATTGAGAGGGTCTCACTGTCTTGGTTTTGTAATTTAGAAATTGAATGCTGTATTCGTGCTGAACTAGTTTAAAAGGATTTATAGTTTTAAATCGTTCCCTCTTTGTGAAACATTCCCTATCACACTTTAACATAGGAAGAACTCAATTTAATAACTATAAGCTGATGCTAAGCGTTCAATTTTTAAAACTTGACAATTTGTCAAAAACTGATCTTAAAACCCACCAAACAGATTCAATAATATGACTGTCGGTAATATTTATATGACTCATTATTCAAGAACCTGAATAGTAGGACGATAATAGCAATACCATTATTTACTAGCTCTACTTAGTCCATGATATGTTTAGTCTGCA